CGTGAAGTTAATTTCTAGTAGAGTGTTGTGGATACGATCAACGCATGGAACAACACTTTTTGTGATCGACAAATTGTTACTTTGGGTGATTTGTGTCCGTTTCATGCATATATTTACAGCCCCTGAAAGTTGTCTTAAACCGTTTAAGTTATTATAATGATTAGTGAAATAAAGTTAAAAGCAAGTTGTTCAAAAAGGACAAAATTCGACGATCTCTTATCTTAATAGTCACCCAGATGGAGATTCAGTTAAAAACATTTTATTCTTGGGGCATCGAATTTTCAATATCTTTTTTATCAAGGCTTAATCAAAAACTGCTAATCGTTTTTTTTTTTTAATATTCAACAAGATAGAATTAAAAAAAAAAGATTATAACTTCGAGGCCAATAACTATGGAAGTGACAAATTATAAAACAGTTGACAATTTTTACACAGTAACTAAAGATGTATGTTACAAACATAAGACAGCAACAGTAATTTGCATTAAATAATGTTATTGGTAATTTTCATTTATGCATCAAGAATTACTCTACCACTAGCAAACGAAAAGATATTAAAATATTCATAAACGCCTCCCTCCAGTCCCATCCTTTTGATTCTGGAAGATGGGACTGAAAGGGTGGCAACTCACTAGTGACTCTTGAAGTGCAGTTGTCCATGGGCGGCGGTAGTCGCTTACCATCTGCTCTGTCTGCTCGTTTGTCCCCATGCCATTAACAATCCTTAAATATTACTCAGAACAAATGATTGTAATCACCACACAATTATTTCTCCTGTGTGGGAATCGAATCCACGACTGCTACTCGTTTTAACGCTTAAAACAGCATCAGTCGTGGATTCAATACCATAAAAAAACTATCCTATAGTTTATTGAAATTTTAATAATATTTCGGACATCGGACACACAACGCCATCTAGCTTCAAACTAAGCAAAGCTTGTAATATGAAAGCTAGATTGACTGATAGAATTCCTTTTTTTATAAATACATACATATTTTATATAGAATACACCCAAACTCCGAAACAAACATTTGCCGGTCTGACAAAAATTTGGTCCGACCTGGGCATCGAACCCGATACCTCAGCACACAAGTCGCATACGCTACCACCGAGACAGTCTATAGGCTTAAATAAACTATAGGTAAGTTTACACAGCTTTCAAAAAAAGGTAATCCTAACACGGAAGTCCATTCGCTTTCAATCATGGATTCCGATAATAAAATACAACAGTGGGGCACAGGTCATCAGCCCAGAGTAGCCCGACCCCTGTCTCCTCCCACAGACAGTCGTACAGCTAGAACATTTCAATATACAGCGACCACTATTAAAGTGCACCGTAATCTAGTAAAATATATGTAAATACATCCAATATACATACTTTTGTAGTATAATTTGCGTCATTTTATACGGGAATCGAACCTGGAACCACGAGGTGAGAGGGCGATCACCTATGGCATTGACTTTGTAAAATAATCTTTGTCGATTTTACTATATTAAAATTGATGGGAAGAGTCTGGAGTCAACGTTGAATGAAACATATAGATTTATAAAAGAAGCTTAGTAGGCATTAAGATAACCTGATCTTAATGTATATTGACTTTTTATGATATTGGGGCAAACAAGCAGACGGGTCACCTGATAGTAAGTCACAACCAACATCTATAGAACAATTTATTTTGGTAAAACATGAGTGATACAGTAAAAAAATTATATTCCATGAAGATGTTCTAAAGGTGCTATGTTTTTTCTTTTCTTTTTCTTTTCTTTAAAAATTCAACTCCCGCATTAGGAATATATCCTGTGTCGCGGGGGACTTTACAAACATACATGACACGGACACAAAGAACACCCAGACTCAGAACATCAATTAGTGGGTCACACAAAGTGTCGTCCCATGTGGGGTTTGAACCCACAACACTCGGCGTAGTAGGAAGCGGCGTGGCGACCGCTTAAACCATGCATGTGCAGTCATGTTTTACCAGTTATGGCGTACTAAATCTTGAAAAAGTATAGGAGTTTAATTATAGTTCCATTCAACATTTTCAAGTTATTGTTAACCGAAAGTTATGATCACCTGGAAGTCTAAAGACACAAGTCCTTTACCACCCTTTGAGCGCCCCTCCAGGATCAGCAGTGCTATTCTCTGAGGTTTTGCCTTTCGTTACTGAGAAACCCTTGCGAACTTAGTATTTTAGAGAATAGCATTGCTGGACGGGAGATTAGGTCTCTGATAACCTAACTCACTAGGAGCAATGAAAGAATTACCTACCACCTGTTTTCTGTTAGGCCGTTGTACCTACCTATCACTCCGGTCGAGCCGGCCTGCACTATGTGCACAGGGAGAGCCATGCTTCGGCACGAATGGGCCGGCTCGATCGGAGTGATACCACGGCCTCACAGAAAACCGGTGTTAAGCAATTCTTTCGTTGTCTTTCACTGAGTGAGTGAGGTAACCGGAGCCCAAATCCCCCCTCCCGCTGACTCGAGCTGGATGGACTCAAAGGACAGCACTTTTGAGTTGCAGGTGTCCATGGGCGGCGGTAGTTGCTTACCATCAGGTGATCAGGTGAAAAAGAAGAATCTAACGACACCTCCCAAGTGAAAATCTAGCAAGCCGTTCAGCCCACAGAGCGTGGCAAAGAAATTTACATAATAAACATATAAACGAAAACGAAAACAAAACCCTTCTTTTAGCACAGTCGGTAGAAAGTACATCTATGACTTGTTTTAATCACGTATCTGAATACCCTGTAGTGCTCACATTATTTATTACACGAACAAGACGACCATCTACATATTTACACGTATATTATATAAGTATCTATTGGTATATAAAAAATTTAAGAAGCAATCAAAAACGTCAAAACGTATGGCCCCTATGGGAACATAAAAAGCAACTTCCAGTGACGTCACGAGGCGTACATATCAACTATAATGGGTATGTGTGTACCGCTTAAAAGCCTTTTCACATTTTGTTGGTAAAATGGGAATTGCCTCCTGGTTTTATTACACATTTAGACAAAATGTAAATTGTAACATGAATTTCTCACGCACTCACGTCATTTCTGTTTATTGTAGTAGTATCATAAAATAAATTAAGATGTACAAAATTTTATTACACTCACGCCTTTTATCCCCAAAGGGGTAGGCAGGAGGCTGTAATTTTAGTGCTACATACGTCAGGGCTAGCCTAGCCCACATATACTGGGTCTACCAATAGGGATGACCTGGTTTTAACAGCTCATAGCGGCCATGTTTGATGATGGATCTTTGACGTCTCTTGACATTTGTGTTCAGTAAGATTTGCCATTTTATCATGTCACGTTTCACTTTAAACCAACGCTTAGAAATTGTCCAAAATTATTACGCAAATTCGCGTTCTCCTACCGCTACAGTAAGAGCGCTTCGCGCAAAAAACGGTCGTCATAGTGGGCCTTCTGTGCGCGCTATAAATCGCATAACAACAAAATTTGAAAGTGAAATCACTCTCCACGATACTGGTGTGCCTGTGAGACAAAGAAATGCCCGTAGTAAAGAGAACATTGCAGCCGTTCAGGCTAGTGTTGATGCGAGTTCAAATCGATCAGTTCAATGCCGTTCACAAGAGTTGGGGCTAGGGATATTCACTTAACATCGATATATCGAATTTATTCGATGTATTCCGTACGATATATCGATTGATTCGATGTTTTGACTAACATTTATTGTATTCGATATATCGATATATTTATTTATAGAAACATCGAATATTTGCTTTTTTTATTTTCTTGTCGAATCTATTAACGAACTAAATAATTTTAACACTACTTGATGCCTTCAATTTTAAATAAGGTTCATTAAGATAGTGACATCTGTGAGTGACCATCTTAATTATCTAATCTATCCTGACAGATCGATCGACTATTCACTCTCAATGTATGTATAGTCTGTGGATTCTATAGGTTCATTATATTTACAGTAGAAACTCGATTATCCGGCCCTCAGTTATACGGATTCGCGATTATCCGGACTATAAACTGCGACCAATTAAATAATTAAGTAATATTGAGCCAAGTTACAAAATGTTTAACATATGTACTAAAAGTCGAATTTATGCAAGCACGAACGAGTCGGAACTGGCATTACCCCGCCTGCGCCCCACGGGATCGCTGCTCCACGCGTTTCGTTATTGTTTTGGTTAGTTAGCAATTGTTACTCCGCTCTGATGTGCGTGTCGCGTCTAAATATTTGAAAATGTCAAAGCGTAAGAGAGTAGTGTTATCGCTTAAAGACAAAATAAATATTATTGATTCATTAAAAAAAGGAGAAACCGGTCGTAAGTTAGCTGATGAGTATTGTGTAGGTACATCCACGATAAGTGATATTAAGAAGAATGCCGATTCAATTTTGTTGTACACCTGCAAATTAGATAGTGAAGACGGGAGTAAACATCGGAAAATGATGAAGAAACCGAAAAACGAACTTTTAGAAGACGCTTTGTATTGTTGGTTTTTACAAAAACGATCAACTGGGCAACCGATATCTGGCCCTTTACTCTGTGAAAAAGCATTACAGTTAAATAAAAAATTAGGTGGTGATGAATCGTTTGTCGCAAGTAACGGATGGTTATACAGATTTAAATCTCGTCATGGAATTCGTGAATTGGAAATACAAGGTGAAAAAATGTCAGCTAATGTAGATGCAGCAAACTCTTTTAAAGATGATTTTAAAAAGAAATTGGATGATTGTAGAAAATAACTGCACCGCATTACAAGCTTCCAAGTAAGACAACATTGACTCGCTGGGTTGATGACAAATATGATGCATTATCAGATGTGTTTAAAAATAAATTAAAATGTTTAGAAAATATAACACTTACAACCGATATGTGGACAGAAACAATGAGTATGAGAAGCTTTCTTGGAATTACAGGTCACTTTGGTATATGTACCGAATTTTTTTCTATTACTCTTGGAGTATATCAGTCATTTGACCGTAACACTTCGAATCATATTGCTGAGATGCTTCTGAAGTCTTGTTCTGAATGGGACATTGACGTTGATAAAGTTTCGGCTGTAGTAACGGATAACGCAGCATCTATGATTAAGGCGGTCGATCTGGCCTTTGGTAAAAAACACATACCGTGTTTTGCGCACACTTTAAATTTAGTTGCGTTAAATGCGATACAACACTGTCCAGAATTACAAAATCTAATAACTAAGGTCAAGACTATTGTAACATGGTTCAAACAAAGTAATACAGCAAGCAATGAATTAAGAAAAGCCACAGAAAAAGAGTTTCAACAAGATGGAACAGCACTTATTATATGATTGAGAGATTTTTAGAGTTACGCATTGTAATCAATGATATAATATTTCGTCATAGAACAGTGCCACCTATGCTCAATGCATCAGAACTGTCAGTTCTTTCTTCTGTGTTACTAGTCTTAAGACCGCTCGAAGCTGCTACTAAAGAAATTTCTGGAGACAGATACTGTACAAGCAGCAAGGTGATTCCGTTAGTTCATTGCTTAGTTTTAAAAATCCAACCTCTCCAATTGGAAGACTCACTTGCCAATGAATTGAAATCGTTTGTGCTTAATGAAATTGAAAAAAGAATGGGCGCTATCGAAAGAGTAACTCCACTCGCCATAGCAACTGTATTGGATCCCAGGTATAAAAAAATTCACTTCAGAGACGCACTTGCTTGCTCTACAGCAGTCGCAAAAATTAAAGACTTGATGAAAAATACTACACAAACTGTCGAAATGTCCGAATCAGATTCTGATCAATCTGAAAAACAAGAAGAGAGTTTTTCCTTATGGGATCATCATCACAAACTAGTAAGCAAGAGTTGGAAATCATCACAATCAGATGATGCAATTTCTGATGAATTATCGATCTACTTGCGTAGTCCAGTATCAGGAAGGCTCAATGAGAATCCTTTAGAGATTTGGCAAGATCTAAAAATTCAATTTCCTAAGCTTTATAAGATTGCCTTCAAATACTTAACTATTGTCGGAACTTCTGTTCCATCCGAACGTTTATTTTCAAAGGCTGCTCAAATAGTCAATCAACAAAGAAATAGAATGAAAGGTAAAAGATTAAGTAAACTTTTATTTTTGCAAAGTTTGTCTAAAGAGCATTGGTCTTAAATAGGTAAAGTGAAAGTAAGTTTTTGCAGGTACCTAGATTAAGGCTAGTACTAAAAATGTATTTTTTTTCTTTTACTGTTTTCAAGTTTTGTGGTATGTAATAAAATATTTCTATTAATTTGTCGTTTTTATTTCACTTACAAATGTAGGTATAACTTATTTCAGTCATCTCACCACTATCTTAGTAGTACAATTCTATTCAAGTAACACTCATAGAAAATCACTATTATTACACTACTAGTTTATCTATGTTACTCTGGTCTCTAATTCTACATTCATACTTACAAAATCAAGGACCACAAACTTTGTGCGTTTCACTGGAAAAAGGTAATATTAAATTTTTGTGGAAAGTATTCGATAGTGAAAAAATATCGATGTTTTCTAGCGATATATCGATAAACATCGATGCTGGGATCCAATATTTTACATCGAATATAAATATCGATATATTTTTTAAGTGGACACCCCTAGTTGGGGCTCTCTCCAATGACCACCTGGCGTATTTTGCGGTTGGATTTGGGCCTACACCCATACAAAATTGTTTTGGCACAAGAATTGAAGCCATCCGACCATTGTATCCGTCGTGAATTTGCCGATTATGCACTGGAAATGATGGAAGCCGATGACGATTTTCATCGTAAAATCATCATCTCAGATGAGGCCCATTTCTGGCTCAATGGATTTGTTAATAAACAAAATTGTCGCTATTGGAGTGAGTCAAATTCACGTGTGGTTCATGAATCACCATTGCATCCGCAAAAAATAACAGTTTGGTGCGGTTTATGGTACGGGGGAATCATTGGTCCGTACTTCTTTGATAGTGACGAAGGAAACCCTGTTACTGTGAATGGCGAGCGCTATAACTCGATGTTAGCCGAATATTTCTTTCCGTAATTTGATGATATTGATGCAGACGACCTTTTTTTTTGAACAAGACGGTGCACCACCTCACATTACTCGAATGAACATGGAATTATTGCGTGGAAAGTTTGGTGAGTCGTTAATTTCGAGAAATGGACCAATCAGTTGGCCACCAAGATCGTGTGATTTAACACCTTTAGACTATTTTCTTTCATTTTCTGACTTTTCTTAAATCTAAAGTGTACAGTAATAATCCAGCTACAATTTGTTACCTAAAAACCGTCATACCGGCCGAAATGGTGCACAGCGTCATCGAAAATTGGCGTGAGCGGGTGACCGTCTGCAAAAAGAGCCGCGGCGGTCATTTGGCCGATATATTATTTAAAACATAAATTGCATAAAATTATCTATCAAATAAATCAATCGGATGCATTTTTCATAAAAAATTGTGTAGTTTATTCAATTTTTAAACCAGGACGTTCTTATTCGTAGACCCCATATTTCTAATATAGATACATATTGTAGATAAATGCCACCAGACACAGAACACATGATCGTGCTCATCAGACAATATTGATGAAATGATTGAAATTGTTGTCGTAATCCTAGCAGACGTGGTTTTCAGAATCATCACGTTCAGAATTATTCTGAAGTAATCTGAAGGTCCACTGATCCCGTCAGCATAATTTACTCAAAAAAAATACTTTTATTATTTATTTTAGTTTTTATTTAAGCAAAATAAGTTAAGTAGTCCTCTGAAGAATTGTTGGAAATGTTTTAGGAATCCAAATAAATTTAGTTTTTTTGCTGTTTTAATTAGGGTAAAAGAGATCCGATTATTCGAAAAACAGATACATAAAACGACGAATTCGGAAAAGAAATACGTTTACCAATAAAGCTTACACACTCAACACCACAATGATTACGCATTTACGCAAGGAATCCTTTCAACTTGACAATCAAAATCCTATTTAGCTTCTACGATCAACCACAAACGTAAGTACCTATAATCAATTATCTATCGCGCACGTGTGTCCTACAAACTTACATTTACCAGCGAAACAAACAAATATCAACTTTATGGCAAACCAAATAAGTTTATAATAAAAATAAACGAAGGAACAAAATGGCCGCCATTTAGAAATTAGGACAGCGAGTGAATGGTCGTCATTGTCGCGACTTCCCCTTTTGATTAAAACGCGCTCGTGAAGTGTTTACCTCGAGGGGGCAATGTGGGACTCTTCAAATTCTCAGTAATAATATAATGGATGTTACATCATAGTAATATGTTGTGAGACGTCCCAAAGTTACGTGTGCTTTTATCTCTGCTGTAATTGGTGAATCGAAAATGTATTCCAACTTAAATTAAAACGTAGAAATACAATTCAGATACACAAACAACTCACAAAATTTTATGTCCTAGTGAATCCGGATCGTAAATACGTATATGTTTTATCTGTATTGATTTGAGGAGCCTTATATTTTGTCCCCTGGGTATCCTATATCATATTCTACAGTTGTGTAAGTCTACCTTCAAGTTCTTGGCGACAAAACCATTTTAGTTTTTAGAGTGTAGCTCAACATCCAATCATTCAATTTTGATTTATGATTGTGCAAGAACTATTCTGACGTAATATTTGTCATATTCCATCAGTAGGCGTTACATCACTTGGTATACAGGATGTCTAGCAACTAGTGGGACGTTCTTTTTCAGGAAAACAACCTTTCTAAATATTCTTTAGTTGTAATAATTATTTATGTAATGTCTTAAGTAGTTACTTCATTTAAAGAAAGAAATAAACCATGAGTATAGAAAACATCGATAATAGCGGTATAACTGCTGCTAACAATGCTATATTTCATGCCATAAACAAACTTTAATATCACCAAGGACCAATGGTGACCTTGCTCACTACCTAAATATAACACAAAAATATCTTATCCGTCTTTTTTGAACCAAATTATGACGGAAAGACATCAGGTTGTAATCTTCCGAATTAACCCTTTTAAAATGATGAAAGTTAGAATTCTATCAGGCCTTTCCACCCTTTTTGCAAAATAACTACCCTGCACTTAACACTTTTTTTATAAAACACTTTATAACAAAAGAAACGCCATTCTCATCGGCATTATCCTAACATCACGTGCAAAAAGAGACACGAAAATACAAAGACCCTTCAACACGTTGTGAAAATAGCAACAAAAAGAAATAATTTCACAATACATGTTAGCAAATGAAAAAAGTCTCCGGACTGTCATCCATCATCGCTGTAACGAACAAAAGCTTTTAGTTGTACAAGCCGGAGAAGCACCGAAATGCCGAGCCCGCGCCGCGCGGGACCGCAGGTCGACATGTATGCAGCAATCAGCCTTATTGCACGTCACATATATATTTGTTGTTACTAAGAAAGTGGAATTTTAACCACACGAGTATCACAGCCTATGTAATAACTGAGATGCCAAATAAACAACTTGCTAATAAATATGCTAAACTAATATGCTTTTCTAAATTTTTGCTACAATATTTAAAGGAAAAACATTACTTAAAATGATTAAAGAGTATCAATCGTCATTCTTTAATTTCAACTGTTAGGGGTTGTATTCTTGCTTCAAATTTTGATGGGACCAAACGGAAAGTATACCCGCCCAATTAGAAAAAAAATGGTTCATAAATGAAAAAGTTTTGAGGTAACAAGCATAAAAAAATCAACCAAGAACGTTCACCATTTTTGAAGTCAGTTAAAATCATTTTAACAATACATTAATATAAACAATATTCAATTTTCTCTTTGAACATACTTAACCAAAATATTAACATTCATTACAACGAAATAGAGCAATTATGCCAAATTAATTGCATAAAAAGGAGAGTTAAATATGGCAACAAACATTCGACTACTTATCTCGGGGCTCCAAGACCTCATTACGGAGTGCAGCCACTGGCACTAATATCCAAACATTTACCAACCATCATGAAAGCGAAACCTCATCAAAATATAGGCAAGAATAATTTAATTAATCGACAAAGCACTCTGCCGTAACTAACATCAAAGCAATACTATGGTGTACTAAATACTTATATAATCGAATTACGAAGATTACGGAAACCCTGGGCAGAAGCTACGCTCATTAATTACGATAAATTGTGATACTAGAGCTTTTGTGGGGAACATGGCGCTTTAAGGACTTTGCGTTTATTATTTTCGACACAAATAATATAAATTAAGGTCTGAAAGTGTTTGATTCAACTCAGAGCTTAAATTGGTAGACCTAAGACCCCCTTTACATTTTTACAATATTTTTTTAGAGGATGGAGTTGAAACTCTGTCCTAGTAGCTTTCCTAATCACATACGATTTCAGCGTCTACGAAGTACCTTTTTTATGGTATATGGGGCAAAGCTGATGGGTCACCTGATAGTGCTTTAGCCTAATACCAATATTCTTTCTTTCTTTACTCACATGTGACCCCAAATAAATCAGAAAAAGGGTAGAAAAAAAAATCATGAATCATGAGACTTTTCCATATCCAATTCTGTCAAAGACAGTCCATAAGTGAGTAATGAATACACTTCTCTTCAGATATTTAAAGACTACCATGAGCTCTTTTGGCGATTATTTGATTAAATTCCTACTGACCCTATGGAATTGATAAATAAAAGTCTAAAGTTCGACTCAAAGCAAGCAACTACTATAGTGCGCATAGAAATGCAGCACAAAGACCTATACAATTGTGCATGTATCGTGAAGGTCTGTAATCTGTATCAGTCAATGCATAAAAAGATGTACTGGAGCAATGACCCGTGCACCTGGGGCACTCGCCCTCTTTCAGGGCTGACAGTTGACACAGATTGACATAACTTATAAAATCGTGAAGTTAATCGAATATTCTTAAACATCCACAATTCGATTCGTAATTCTTATATTACGGCTTACTAATGGACAATCTTTAGATCTGCCTTAATATTTACGATGATACTCCTACCGCTGGAGTACTTTCTTTTTTTTAACGATGGGAATGCTTTTCGCACCATACCCTCCGTTGGGGAAACGCAGGGCGTGTGTGGGACTCCCGGAGAACCGGTCTACCCACTAAACCCCGCGGCGGCCTACCTCGGGAGTCAGGAGGAGCTCCAGGAACGCATTGGCGGCTTCTGGAGTCCTGCCTGCGTACCTACTACTGCGATAATGCTGATGAGTAAACTCAGAAGAGCTCTAGAGCAAGGCAAAACAGAAGTGTCAAAACTTGCGCTCCACATATTTTAAGACTATACAGTAACACCATTTATCTGATTTATTTTTGAATCCTTGTCCTACATATGTATTAATAAATAAAGATCTCAAAACGTTCAACCCTAATGGTTCACAAGTGTCAATATTATCAACAAAGTCGTACCCATAATATAACGCATTGATTATGCTAGTTTTACAAGCCCCTCCGGATTAATTCAACGCATTTCATGTCATTCAAACTGGACCGCTTTATACTCAAGACAAAAGGATCTTGACTCGTTTGTAGTTCAATGACTTACTTATTTTTATACAGAGTGTTTGTACATTAGTATACAAGGTTTCTCAAAAATACCAGGAACGAAGAAAGAACTCAGTGATTTTGTAGTTCTACTATGGTTTTTGCTAAACTATTCTAAGATAGAACTTTTACAAAAATTCCTAGACATAGAAGCATTTTTTTTAGCATCGAAGCATCATCATTGGATGAAATCTATTTGCCATTCCTATTTCCTAAGAAGTTCCAGCACTAAGAAATCTACCCAAAAAGCCAAATCACAAATTCACACTAAAATTGTGGCAATTTCAACTCATCTACCGCCATTCTCTCTCTTTAAGACATACAAACAATTCTCCAATAAAACTAAATATTCATTTCCAAAGGCATCCCTATGTATCCACAAACCATACAAGCCATTGATGAATAAAACTCACTTTGTAAATGTGAACCCATTGACAGACCGCCCATTGTTATTTTGCACGTGGCAACTCGGCTATATTTTCTCATGACAACCCTTTATTTTCAGTTGGTATCGCATTGAATCCGACGCCATTATGAATTATTCCAATGTTATAATTATATATTGAATATTTTCTTAATAATAGCAGTACTTTTGTACTATTTTCATTTTTATAACTGATGGTTTTATCACTCTAACTCCCTTGTTTGGTGTAATGAACTCTTAAATTATCGCGTTCTATGGTTATAAATTACAAAGATTGCATTGTGTAATCGTATATTTCTGTAAGGTTAATGTAATATTGAATATTTCAACCTAGGTTTCTTATTAAAGGCATCTCATCTGTGAGTCAAAAGTGTATCTATCTACCCGCAAATAACTAAAGTTTTTATTTCCGGAATGTTTATTAAAGTTATGTATGTAGTTATTTAAATGATTTAAAGACTAAAATTGAAAAGAGAAGATAATATATAAATTCTATAAGTATCCAAGTGACATTCAAACCTTAGATTCCTTAAGCGGCAATCCGATATGATGCTGATACGCGATCGCGAATCTGTGTGGTCCAGCGGAGGAAGCATCTTGCTCCCGCGGCTTCTGCAACACATGGATTTGTATGAATATTTTATTATCACAGTTTGGAATAAAAACTCATCTCATTATAATTAATTACAACTAAACATTCAAGATGTCCTTGTGATAAGAGTACTCTGGCGACTTCCACATACGGTGAAACGAAGAAACATACTAACAGCGCCATCTAACGAAGAGACACCGAACTCAGAGTAACTGCTAATCCTGTATCGCGATATGAAGAATTCTCTCGCCGATTAGCATATTTACAACTTCCCAACGTTGGCGTTGGCAGGCGCATGATCACCTCGCCTGGTCGAAGGATTCTCTCTTTGTGTTTGAGGGACATGACACCCGTTCCTCCACAAGCACTAGTGTTGCCAACGCATCGTTTTTTAAATTGGGAAAAAGCAGCAAAAAATTATAGGGAGTAAAAGTCTTCAAAAATATTGGCACTTATACATGGATGGATGAAGGTTAGTCAATCAATCACGCCAAAACGGGCGAACGGAATTGTGTCCAAAAATAGATTATATTCTGGAATAAGATTGACTGACTTTCAAAAAAACTGGTTGACAAAATCGATATTACCACATGCGCAGCCGCGGGCTGGAGTTATAAATTAAATGTAATAAATCAATACGTAACGCATTTCTTAAGCTAAAAAAATGTTTTTTTGCATCAAATTTTAACATGTGCTTACACTTCCAATTCCATCTATGTATATAGGATACTCAAAATACTGCCAATTGTATGAACGGCTGAAATGCCTAATTACCGGCAATAGCAAGTCTGTTACGGTAGTGAGACCAAAGTAGAGTGGACTGGCGTATTAGCTTCTAGAAGTAATGTAAACATATAATACAGCGAAGGTTACACACAGTTCGACAAACCCAATAATATGATACAAGCTAAGTTGATATACAATTTGACTTGCTTCTTCTTGATTTGTTTCTTGACTTGCAAAAACTTGACTATTGCTAACCAGTACGAAAAACAAACACTATTGTACTGGCCTTTACGTAATTGCCAAGTCTAAATCATTTTGGCAAATTAATAAAAAACCTTTTTTAAAGAAAACTCCCGCTCGAGAAATAAATGCTGTGTCGGACCTTTACAAACATACAGGCAACGGACACAAAAAACACCCAGACAATTTGTGGATCACACAAAGTAATGTCCCTTGTGGGGATCGAACCCACAACACTTAGCGCAGTAGGAAACAGGGAGGTGACAGCTTAAACCACTACGCCATTCGTACAATTTAATGTATGCCACCTCGTCGTAAAGTGTTATACTTGGCTTTTATTATTAGTAAAGTGTAAAATTGAGAATACTTACGAGGCTCTCATGTTGTTTGCGTGAAAAGAGCGGGACCTGTTGGAATTATGAATTGAACTTTAAAAAAGGATAATATTTACTCTAATAGCACCCTTTTCCCAAATTTGTTTGGGGTCGGCGCAACAAGTTTTCATCTTCCACACTCTTCTTTCACCTTCAGTCCATCTATCTTTTCTATGTTTGTCCTGTACTCTTATATCCGTCAACTTCCGTACATAAAACTACATTTTAATTAACTCCATACCATCCATGGTATGCACCAGGATAACCTGTTGCTTGTCAACTTTTGATTCACTGGTACTACTTTCAGGGTTCCCCCAATGTAGTCATTCCTCACCTTGTCCATCCTAATCACACCAGCTACACGCAGGCAATATTTATTCTAATATATGTATAATAATACTAGCTGATCCCGCAAACGTTGTTTTGCTATATACATTATTTAAAAAAAAATGACTAAAAAAAGGGTATGAAAAATAGATGTTGGCCGATTCTCAGTCCTACCCGATATGTACACAAAATTTAACGAAAATCGGTAGAGCTGTTTCGGAGGAGTTCAACTTCTAACACCGTGACACGAGAATTTTATATCTATACTAATATTATAAAGCTGAAGAGTTTGTTTGTTTGTTTGAACGCGCTAATCTCAGGAACTACTAGTCCGATATAAAAAATTCTTTCAGTGTTAGATAGCCCATTTATCGAGGAAGGCTATAGGCTATATATCATCACGCTATGACCAATAGGAGCGGAGCACCAATGAAGAATGTTTTAAAAAACGGAGAGAATTTATTACTATTGAGAGACGCAGACGAAGTTGCGCGGGTCAGCTAGTATTAGATATGTATATTAGTGGCTTCTCTCCAATTACGAGACGGTATTTTAAAACCCGAAATTTGTGGTGTCGGTTTCCCTAGCTCCTTCATCTTATCCGTTTTCCGTGCCTAACTTGCCTTTTTCATTTGCCTTGTATGAAAAAGAACAGGAAGAAATGTACAAGGTGGTTGCCGCAAGGCAGGCGGCCGGGCGTACTCGTTTAAAAAAAATAAAATGGAACAGCCAATGATGCACGACCGGGCCGACCCTGACCAAAAATTGGGAAAAAAAGATGATGATGATGTGTAGTAATATACTAAAAGTGATGAGTTTGCTTGATTCTTTCTTTAAACGTGATTTTCTCTGATACAGCCAGGAGCTTCAGGAAATCCTTTTTGTATTAGTATAAGTTTTCATTTAGGAAAGTTATAGACTACGTAACTTTTTTTAATATTAGAGGGAGCAGACGAGCAGACGGGTCACCTGATGGAAAGTGACCATCGCCGCCCATGAACGTCTGCAACTCAGGAGTCACAAACGCGTTGCCGGCCTTTTAGGAAGGAGTACGCTCTTTTCTTCAAGGTTTGAAGGTCCTACCGGTCCGGCAATACCACAGACGATAACCCGTTCCCCAGATTGGTTGTGCGGGGCAAAGAAATGTCACGAAAAGCGCACAGTAGTGAACACTACACTATGAACCAGAACGCAACAGTGACCCAGTTTTGAAACTGAGACATGATAATATTTTTAATACAATAATTTCACTTACATATTTTTATCTTTCCTATCGGCAAGTTTTCGTCCCTTAACCCTCACCATCGTAGAGTCTCCGGCACCATGGAGAGATCCATCTACTGGCGTAGTGTTCCTCAATACACTCATTGTTGAAACCTTTGCAAAACCAAAAAAAAATTTTTTAAAGAGGTACTTATTTGAAACATGAAAACCTACTTGGACCGTTGAACTGCTAATTTTGAACGCACTCTTTTTATTTTTTAGCTAACTGCGCAAGAAGGCTTATGATTTCGAGGGTATGTAAATTCGACTAAAACGAATAGTGTTAAAACATCACGACACACCCTTTAGGAGCGGTGCAGCAACCATAAATACAAGTTAAAATGCAGGAAATGGCTACTATTGTATGATGATCGTGGTGACAGATTATGAATACGGAGTGTCGTCGTAAGAGCCGACTAAGGGAGCAAACTATGCTGTACAACACTGCAAAGAGAAGGCAAACTTGAAACAAATCCTGTACCAACCCGTCTGGCCAGCGTGGTATCGTAGGCCAAACCCTCCTTTCTGAGGAGAGGCCTATGTTCAGCAGTGGACTACTAAAGGCTGTTGGTGACGATGATGAGATGATGTATGATTATGAGTAAGGATCTGAAAAATATCTTCGTATGCTGTAAATATTACCTTGGAGAGTTCTTCAGCACTGTAGTCAGTCACTTTCTGGAGAACTTCGCTCTCAGTACCAATTTTTTCCTCCGACTGCGTAGCTACAGTGCCACTCGATTCCTGCACATAACCCTGTTATTTACAACATATTTTAATACCTTGAATTAAAATGTCTGTCCGTGTCATCATATATAGATCTCTTTATTTACACAAGAGTAGTATCTTATATACAAATGTCAGGTAACTATATTATATACCTAGAAAGGGTGGCCTTATTGTTGAGAGCAATCATTCCATCCGACATACTTTTTGGCCGTTGGCCCGGGAACGTGACCCTTGAGGGTTCTCACATTCCCAAAAAAAATATATAAATAAATTCGTTATTTTTTACGATATATTACACCACTCACGAAAGTTTTTGTTCTAAGGTTTAAGGTTTGTAAAGACTTTATAATAAGCATTAATATAACATTTTAAGAAATACAATTAGTGTGAAGTGGCGGCGTGAAATGATGGAAGCCAACAAAGGCTTTAAAGGACTAGGGCTGACACTGGAATCTGTACCTGAGGAACCACATCACACAAGTGAGCAAATATCAAATAATATATAAGATAATTTGAGCTGCACATAACTTGATATGGTCGCTATAATTTTACGTTTATCTGCTAAGAGAAAAATATCCCTTTATGTTATATTACTTACATAGCTAATTTCTCTGTCTATATCCAATCTTAGCCGTATTTCACTCGACAGCTGTACCTTGCCGGGGAACCTTTGCAAAACAAAATAAATAACTTAAAAAAATATATCAGTGGCTTACAAAAATTAATATAATTCCCTATAGGGTTATATGTTTTTATTCAAATTTGAATGGAACGAAACGGTAAGTAATTAAGAAAGAATTTTCCTAATCGGCTTATAACGGAGTTCTGAAGTCATCATAATTATCAACAGCCTTAAATAGTCCACTGCTCGACATAGTCCTCTCCTTAGAAAGGAGGTTTTGGCCTACTATACAACGCTGCCTGGATGCTCCAGCTTATTTTTTTAAATCAGTAAACTCTAGTTTATGTAAGTTTTCCTTCTTTGCAGTGCTATTGTCCTGTGTATTTTGCTCCCTTAGTTGGCTCTTACAGTATTCAGGAGATGAATAGGGGTGGTGACACTCCGTATACTTAATCTAAACTCCTCTCTTAGTACCACTCTTAGTACCAAATATAAAAAATAAGCCCATTTGTAAACCTCCTCCTTCTTTTAAACCTTATTTTACTCCTTTAAGGTCTCCTGCCATTTTACTACAGATTAAGTAACAAAAGGCAGGGCCGGCGAAAACGACTTCCACCTGGCATTAACCCAAAGTAAAATAACCTCACACATGTCCGTCTGATCCCAAACTAGGCAGAGCCCGTACTATGGTAACCAGACTACTGATAAACATACTTATATATTTCAAAATAGACACACATCGTAGCTAAAAATAAATTATAGTTTAAATAAACTAAAAAAAACACGCTTTTGTACTAGCCGAACTAAAAAAAAATATATCTATCTGTAAGTTCAAAAAGATAGATTGAATTAGATATGGAAAAAGCCGATTGAAGATCCTGATCAGGATAATCGGAAACAAAAATTTGATTGTCATCGGTCCTTAATAAGCGTGCGATCTTTCAATTCAATCAGACGTTTTAGATTAGGCAGAAATCACGTTCGAAGATTCTGTTACACAAATACATACAAAGCTAATAAAAGCGTGTTAAATTAAAAAACACCCAGACACAGAACAAATTATTGTAATCAACACACAAATAGTCGTCTTGGGTGGGAATCAAACCTACGACCTCTGGTTTAGCGGGCATGATCACTAACACTAGACCAACAGACCAGATATTTTAATAACATACCCTGCACGTGTTAGCTATTGTTTCAAAGGCGGTGGGCAGAGAAGGGAGGAGGTTATTCTCAAAACTGTCTTTAACCATATTCAAACACGCACAAGTGAGTATAATTTGAGAGAATTCTATTTTTTTTATAAGGCATAAATCATATACCAATACTCCCGTGGAATTTCCTCTTCGATTGGATAGTCCAAGGACGAAGAGCTTATCCACTTCTGGAGGGCTTCATCTTGAGTTTCCTCAGCCACCGCCAAGTTCTGTTGACTCCAGGTGTCTTTAGGAGATGGATCGGGCATTTCATCAGGTATCCAAGACTCTTCGCGATTTGGAATAAAACAGGGGGGATATGCGCTCGGATCTTCTCCAGGGTCGTGTCGATAGAAATACCTGAATAATAGCAATCTATCTATACTCTATACAAATGAATAAAATTGGAGTGTCTGTTTGTAATATTAAAATAACCGCTTTTTACTAAATGCATATGTATGTTTACACGGTACATATGCCAAAATATCATTTTTTACAATTTTTGTCTGTCTGTCTGTCTGTTTGTTCCGGGTAATCTCTGGAACGGCTAGACCGATTTCGACGGGACTTTCACTAACAGATAGCTGATGAAATAAGGAGTAACTTAGGCCACTTTTCTTAGACTAGCTTTCGCCCCGCGGCGTTGCCCGCGGTTATAACAACAAACGCGGGTAACACCGCGGGTCTCAGCTAGTCAAAAATAAATCTGGAAATCACTTCGACGTGCAATTAAACAAAAACATACTTCAGTGGCATCTAACGAAGGCACACCGAACTACCGAGTAATTGCTAATCCTGTAAGTTCTTACGCCTATTAGCATATACATAACTTCCTAACTGTGATATAAATAAATAGTGGGTACTTAGACATAAGTCGTACGATCTGTAACTGTCAGTGAGTCTGCGAATACACGTCCAACAGTAAAGTTGTCGTTTTATTGCGAGTCCAGGCATCCTGACTTCTACCGATACTCTTTACTAACATCAAGCGTTGGACCGCGGCCCGCCAATCATGATCACCTCGCTTGGTCGGAGGACCGCCTTTTAGTGTCTGATATGGAGTGTAGAGGCAAGGAGAACCATCTCATATGGAGCGAAAGTTGAAAAAGTGTCCAGCTGTATACTGAAAATAGATGTCGCTGGCGTATGAAAACTACGATTTGATCATATCTGTTGTAGACGGAGTGAAGTGTTCTGAGTTAAAATATTATAATACTTTTATTGTCTGAAAGTTATTACACGTTTATTTATAGTACACTATATCTAATTATTATTTAGGCCAATATAAATTCATCCTAAGCTACTGCAGCGCCACTCTAATTGGACGCGTTTTTTACAAACACTGTTCTAAATTCAAAAACTTCCGCTCTTTGGTGCCTAGTTTGATTTGGGCTTTTGGTGACTACTTTGATTTGGAAAAAATCCCTACTGTGTTACTAGTATTCACATACCTATTATTATTTTAACATCTATTCTTTTATCGCAATACAATGTTTAGATGACGTTCTAAAAATAAAAAAAGTATGTAATTACCAGTTTATAAGTTTGAGCCATGCTTGCCCTGCACAGTGTGCAGTAAATATAGCGTTTTGTTTTTCCATGTATTTCTCGTAACAAAATTGTATGGCAGCTTCAACAATCTCTTCCCTGACATCAAATATCATCAGATCGGTTTCTTCTTTTTGAAAAATTTCCATCCTACAGATTTCAAAGAATGTTTTTTTATACTCATGTTGGTTTAAATAGATCTGATCAATTTTTAAATAGAAAAGAACATCTATGAAGGGAATTAATTGAATGATAAAACTAAAAGTAATAACATCGCATAAGATTGTGTGTGATAGTAGGCCAAAACCTCCTTTCTGAGGAGAGGCCTAGTCCAGCAGTGGACTAGTAAAGGCTATTGATGATGATGATTGATGAAGATTGTGTAATTTACAGATTTATTTTGATCTTAAGTACTTTAGTGTGATAGGAGTCAAAGACTTGACGTATTTATTTATATAGATATTATAATAATATAAGTATTTCTTTAAAATATTTTTCTTTCTTTTTACTGTACCTAAATTATTTTATTATATATTAGATCAACATCATCATCATCAACAGCCTTTAACAGTCCACTGCTGTACATAGGCCTCTCCTTAGAAAGGAGGTTTTGGCCTATTATACCACGCTGGCCAGACGGGTTGGTATAGGGTTTGTTTCAAGTTTTCCTTCTCTCTGCAGTGTCGTTGTCCTGCGTAGTTTGCTTCCTTAGTCGTCTTTTACGACACCCACGGGATGAATAGGGGTGGTGACACTCCGTATTCTTAATCCGTTACCACACGGACATTAGATTAACACTTTTGTAATATTATACTAAATAAACTTTATACAGAAGGTATAGATGAAATTGATAGTTTTTTGCCATATTTATTGGCTGGATAGCCAAATATTGAGCGCTAAATATCCGGCTAAACATTTTCTTGATTGCCTTCCTTGCGAATTTGTTTACGTAACTTTTGGAGATGTCATGACCACTATGAACTTTGTATCCAAACCGAAAATCGATAAATAAAAGAAAGGGGAATTTAATACCAAGTACGTTCAGGAATATCTTTAGGTAAAGCAATTATGGTCCTTTGGTCATCAGAGATTTGAAGCTTGCGTCCCCTACGGGACAGTTTATACTTGCTCGTAGACCCAGACATATTCGCTATAATGTTTAGATATTCAAAATGTTATTACGATACAAATTTCCTTTTTAGTAAAATAGTAAAATATTACAATCAAAAAAGTAAAAACGACATATCAATGCCGAAATACTTTGGCAAAAGTGAAGAAAATTACTCTACGTCACTTTATGTTATGATGCGTCACTATGGTTACTGTTTTTTAATAGACAAAGCAGTGATGACTTCAGTATCCACTCAATATATCCAAATAGTACAAAAACACTTACGTTACGATGTATCTACGTATCTTTTTTGTTGACGGGGTGGAAAATCCCTTCAAATCTCCGGCTCTTAGGGGACGCAGGAGCCACCTAGACAGCCGGTTACAGGCGCCCTGCCCTGGGGAGGATTTCACGACCGGGCTGCCATCCTATCGCCTGTCGCAGCAATTAATCTGCCACCAGAGGTCCCCACTCTCTGGCAGTCTTACAGCGTATGCTGGGCGGAGTCCCAGTCGGCTGCGCAGTGCTGGCATTGTACCGTCTCCTCGCGTTCAATCCGATTCAGGTACTCACCGAAGCAACCATGCCCATTTGTACATGCGTCAGTCGGTAGGTGACGCGACCTCCCTCTATACCTACCCAAGCTTCGAGGCTAGGCAGAACATTCTGCGGCTGTTACAGCCACGCGCGCCATTGCACCAGTGGCTGTCGGTGAGCGTTCCGTCGCATTTCGAGACGATGTATCTACGTATCTAGTATCCGGTAATAGTAGGAATATTTAGAGTGAAAAAAGTGGCAAGCATCATGTTCTTTTCTGTTGTAGCTACCGTACTACAAATTGTATGGTTCCCCTACCAAGATAATAATAATAATAACATAACATCTCACACACGGCCGTCTGATCCCAAACTCAGAGGCTGTATTATGGTAACATTGGTAACCAGTCTGTTAAGCAAACTTATGTTTCTAAATACATACAAAATAAATAAAAAATACATAAATAATTGTGCTTGTTACACAATTATTTGTCCTTGGTGAGAATCGAACCCACGACCTCTAGCTTAGCATTCAGAATCACGAAAACAACAAACACACGGAGGTCTGGTTGGCGTTATTTGGGCACCAAGATCTTCAAAATCTTACTTTTCTTATTTAAAACATAACTGTGATGTTTTCAATGCAAAACTACGCCAACATTACGGCATATACTACGGTCTGCCTTAGTATCGGTGACCATAAAACAAGGCTTCAGTAACTAAATGAGACAATCACATAATTCTTTTCCATTTGTATCTTATTGAGATTCACTTTTACCCATTTCCATTCTTCCCTTTTGTGAAAAGACTACATATCTTCCTACAACTTATCTATGGCTGTCGTTACTATAGTTACGTTTGACTGTTTAGAAGTTACTCAACTGTTTTTTCCTTGCATACATTACGTATTCATTAAATCTTACATTATTATTTTTGTTGCTACAATAAAACTCTTTCTAATTGCTTTAACCAAGTTCTTATATTATTGCCTTGTCGAAATAAAAGTGGTTCCACATTATAAAAGTTAACATGGTAGCAGGGCGAATGTAGTGAAAAAACGCTGTCAAGACATAAAGCAAATAGCATTGAACTCTCGTGCCTACGTTGCAAGCATGCCGAAGAAATTTCACATTGATCCACTAGATAAGGACAATTATGACACTTGGGCAATTCAGGCTGAAGCTGTGTTGATAAAAAACAAACTATGGAGGTACGTTGAAAGTCCCCCAAATCAAAACACAAGTGCAGACGATGTCGAAGGAGATAAACAGGCAAAATCAGAATTGATTTTAATAATCGCTCCTTCTCAACTTAAATTAATAAAGAAATGCACCTCTGCAAAGACTTTATGGGATAAACTTAAGGAAATTCATGCGCATATCTTCTTAAGCAAATAATTCTTTCAAAACTTGAAGGAAATGATGTACGAACACACTTAACAAGTTCATGGACACGGTTAATAAACTGGCAGATATGGAAGTAAAAATTTACGAGGATATACTAACGATAATGATGCTTTACAGCTTATCGTCGGAATATGACAATTTCCGTGTTGCTATAGAGCCACGTGACGTCCTGCCAAAACCAGAAGAACTTAAAATCAGCATTTTAGAAGAAAGTGACGCTCGTCATCATAACAATGAAAACTTTGAACCTGGTCGACAGCACCATGAAGAAGAAAACGTACTCTACGCTTGTTGCAAAGTCTGTAAGACGACTGGAAGCAAAAGCTTTAAAAAAAGACACACAAAATATGTTCTAACTGCTGGACAAAAAACAAAGAAAAGAAATCCTACACTAACAAAAACAATAACTCTAACTACGCTGAAGAGTGCCTTTTAACTTCGAACCGTTACAACGAGAATGATTGGGTACTTGATAGGGGCTGCACCTCTCATATGACTGTGTCAAGAAAGTTCAACTTTGTATCAGACGCACACCCTATCGAAATAATGGGTAAAGGTAGAGTTAAGCTGAACAATAAATTTGGGCGAATACACTTGGAAAACACGTTGTTTGTACTCACACTTACTACAAATCTACTTTCAGTACCGAGTATTACCAGTCATGGTGCTTCAGTAGAGTTTAATAAAGACATAGCAGTCATACGCAATAAAACGGAACGTTGCTAATGACCGCAACACAGTCAAATGGCCTTTATTATGTTCACCTCACCTCACAGTTCACCTACTGACGCTAAAACTAGATACTTCGTCACCTTCATTGACGATTACAGTAGGTACGGGCTGATTTATCTCATGAAAAACAAAAAAGTTTACTGGAAACAAAATTAAGAATTTGCAAACGGACAATGGTACAGAATATGTCAACGCCAAATTTAAAGCCTATCTTAAGGAACGTGATTGCGAGACGCTTATCCGCACCCTATACCCTACAACAGAACGGTATCGCTGAACGATAAAATCCTACACTAGTGGAGAAAGCTAGAGCTATGCTTATTGATGGGAAAGCACCTATGGGCAGAAGCAGTTAATACTGCAAACTATTTATCGAATAGGTCTGTAAACAGTGCTATTGGTAACAAAACACCATTCGAGAAATGGGTCTTAAGAAAGCCTTGCCAGATCCGAAGCCTTCGTACTGAAGAAAGGACCGAGAGAAAATAAGTTTGCTCCAAAGGCAATACCAGTAATGTTTGTTGGATACTCGAGCACTAGCAAAGCATATAGGGTTTATGTTCCTTCCAAACGTAAAAGTCTTATTTCTAAAGACGTAAGATTTGTAAAGGGAAATTACTACTCAAATCCTAATGACAATGTTAACGACTTTTCATACAATAAAGACAAGCATTGTGATTCTACTACAGAAATAAAGAAAAACGCAAATACATATTGATGACGCTGACGACTCTCAACAAAACGACATTATTGAAAACGTCGTAAATGCAGATTCTACTCAGCACTGTAATAACGATCAAGAAGCTGATACTGATAGTGAACAGTACCATGAAATACCTGATCACGAGGACCTTGATGATGAAAACACAGCCGAAACAGAACCAAATCACTATATTCTTAAAGACAGATCAGCAATACAATTGCCACAACGGTATGATGACTTTGTACTGGCAGCTGTTAGTGAAGTCCAAAATTTACCTAAGGATCCAGTGACTTACAAACAAGCATTGGACTCGCCTTATAAAGAAAAATGGCTAGACGAGCTGAGCGAAAAAAACTCACTGAAAGAAAATAAAACCTGGGACTTAGTGGAATTACCTAAAGGACGAACTAAAAGCTCGTTTCAAGATCACAACCAAACCCATCGACCACATTCTGGGTATGGAAATAAAAGCAGAAGGCAGAATAACTCTATGCCAACGAGCCTATATAAAAAAGGTTATTGAGAAGTTTGGTATGATGAACAGTAAGTCCACACCAACTCCGATAAGTAAAGAATGTGTCAACGATACAGAACCTAATATTAAAAACAGTCTAGATATAGCTTATGCTGTAAGCAAAGCATCCAGAAACCTAGAGCCACCCACTACAGTTGATGTCATGCTAGTGAAACGGGTCTTACGCTACCTCAAGGAGACTATAGACAAAGCTCTACTATACAGGCACACAATGGAGTAACCAAACAAGTTGATATGTTACTAACTCCGACCTCGCAGAAGATCAAACAACAGGGCCTCAATTCTGGTATTTTATGTTCACGCCAAGCCACTGTCATACCACTGATACGCTATTGAGATGCCATCGAATGGCCATTGGCATCGTTATAAATATCGGTAGTCTACACTAAGTGTCTTTACATGGAATAGTTGTGGCTCATCAGTGATATCAAAAAGATTGCCATGTTTGGAAAAATATAAAATTATTTCCTCAAAAAAACGTAATATATTTTCAAATTATAAGGCAATGATTTATTTATTTTTCTCAATATGGTAATCTTTTTGATATCACCACTGCTGAGCACTGAACATAAAATAGCAGAATTGAGGCCCAAGTAGATTGACATCTGGGATGGTGTGCCCACTCTCAGGAGGAGCTATTACATGGAAAAGTCAGCGACAAACTATAGTATCACTGTCGTCGACTGAATCGGAGATAATCGCTGCCAATGAAACTACACCAGAAATTTTGTGGCTGAACAGCCTTTTGAAAGACTTGGCCAACTTACAAAAACCTGCGCTCTATCTAGATAATGAATCAGCTATAAAGCTTTCACACAATCCTAAATATGAGTACCATAGGCGATACCATGGATGTGTAAACAACGGTGAACTTGAAGTAAAACAAGTACCATCCGTCAGACAACTGGCGGACATGTTTACCAAATCGCTCTTTGGCCCAAGATTGGAAGAATTAAGTGAAAAAATTGGTCTAAAAAGAATTTAAAAATTCTAAAAAGTTCTGAGGGTGTGACATATCTATCTACAACTTATCTATGGCTGTCGTTACTATAGTTACGTTTGACTGTTTAGAAGTTACTCCACTGTTTTCTCCTTGTATAATAACGTATTCATTAAATTTTACATATTTGTAACTGCAATAAAACCCTTTCTAACTGTTTTCTGTTGCTGCTTTCTTTCTGTCTATACAAAAGTGGTTCCACATTATAAAAGTTAACATATTTCTATCTAAAGTGCTCGAGGCCTGTTTACAAGCGGCACTCAGAATTTGATAGACATAAACTAGCAGTTTATCCTCCTCTCTCTTCTTAGTCCTCTACAGTCCGGCTTCAGGGCCGGTCACAGCAATGTTACTGCCTTAACGTGACATCAAAGTTACAGTTCTGGTCTTAGTTGTTTTCTCTAATGAGTCACGAAATCCTACTATCAATCCTGACATATCTGAGTCCCCCCCGAAAGCACAGGAAGGGTTCTCCACCTATCTTCAAGGTCGCCAGCAACGTGTTCAAGACTTGTCATCGATTTGGTTCGACCTCTACACTGGAGTCCCTTAAGACGGAATTTTATCTCCTCTTTTATTCACTATATTTATCAATATCATAACTCAACACCTTCAGTGTACGTATTACCTATATGGCGATGATCTGCAGTTGTATTCACAGGCAAGGATGCAGAACATAACGCGAGCCATCGACAACATCAACAAGGACCTAGACATCATAAAACGCTGGTTGATGAGATTCGGATTGTCAGTAAAACTTACCAAATGCCAGGCAATCATAGTAGGCCATGCAGCAAAAATATGATAAACCGATTAGTTACAGCTTTAATCATACAGCAGCCATACCTTGGAGCCCAGTGGTCTACGCCAATCAACCCTTGATTGGCGTTCTCAAGTTACGCATGTGCGTTAGGCAGTAACTGGAAACTTGCGAACATTATACTGTCTTCAGAATTTCCTGTCTCGTAAATCGAAAATCCCTCATGCAGTCCCTAATTATTCCTATAATTAGCTATGGTGATGTGTGTTGGTTCGACCTGAATGAAGACCTCCTTAATAAGTTGGACCGCCTTCTTAACAACTGCATTCGATACATATTTATTCTTTGGAAGTATGACCATGTGTCTGCTTTACGTTCCCAATTAAAATGGTTACCTATACGCCTGCGTAGAATCAGCGAGCGCTGACCTCTCTCTTTTCATTCCTTAACTCTCCATTCTCACCCACTTACCTTGATCCCTATTTGCGTTTCCTGTCCGCTAATAACGACAGAAATCTTCACTCAACAAATAATGCTCCGATGGCGTAGTGGTTTAGACGGTCGCCACGCTGCTTGCTACTACGCTGATTGTTGTGGGTCCGATCCCTATAACAACACTTTATGTGATCCACAAATTGTTGTTCTGACAGACTCAGTGTTCATATATGTTTGTAAAGTCCCCCGCGACACAGGATATTTTCCTAATGCGGGAGCTGTCTTTCTAAAGAATAAAAAATTAAAGAATAAGAATTTTGTGCACCTTCCTTACCATATTTCTACACCACCAAAGGTTGGCTGGTAGAGAATGTCCAGGACGAGATACAGTTTAAAAAAGTCGGAGTTTAGTAAAAGTTATCATGGATAAGATTGATTGGACCTACATACTTCAAACGAACTTATTAAACTAAACTCATGGTATTGGTGGACTTCTTCTTGCTTATTTCTGTCTTTTTATCTTTTGTCCTTATATTTTTTTTCTAATTGGCTCATACTGGTGGCTTGTATTTCAACGATCATTTTATTTTGCATATTTCCATACTTAGCACCTAGGTAATTAATCTCTTTATTGATAAATAAAGATATTTATCACCAAGGTGCTAACTCTATGTCGATGCATAGATTACTCAATATTACACCTTCATAAGATTATAACTTTATTGTTTTCCGTCAACTTTGCTTTACAAACGAAAACTAAAAGTGGCCAGAAACAAAACTACTTACAATTTTGATGGGTGACAGTTTTTTGAAAAAGTGACATAAACCGAACGTAACTGTTACAAGAAATCCCTTGAATCGCCGTATAAATTTTTTATTCTGAAAATATTTAAAGTGCAGAAGGATGAACATTTACAACAATTAGAAAAGTGTACATTATATCGAACGTTAAATAATGTGTGTTCATTTTCTTGTTTAGATTTTGTTAACGTTTGATTCTCAATAATGTATACTTTGAAGGGTATATTTCCCGAACCAAGTATGTACCCGTTACATTTGATTTTATAACAAAACACTTGGCCATGGCCATTGTAAATTAGTCAATACGTATAGATTTACACTTCATATATCAATATGAAGTGCAACTTACTTAACTTTGAATTTTTTAACTTGATAGTCGTGATGAAATAATTACATTGACACTCATTTAAAACTTCTATTAATTTATCTGCCTTTTACAAAATTTACAAGTGTTAGGTTGCTAATATTTCTTGAATACATATTAAAATAATTATTTCAGAGAAAGAACAAAAAAAGAACTTCATTAGAGAGAACATGAAACAACTAAAATATATTCAAAATAAATCTCCTAAGGAACCTAAATACACCACCAAAAATGTCCATCCCCCACGATTGACAAATCCAATAGCAGCTGGTAGCTCCCTCGGACAGGTGAAGTCATCTCCTTCAAATAAAAGTGGCAAAATATCACCCACTATGGCAAAGACAAGCTCTACAACTACTCGTAAGAAAGTCACAGAAATAAAAATAAAAAAGGGTGACATGGCTGAGTTTTTAAAACGAAAAGAAATGCGACTGGCAAAACAAGCAGTTGTGGACACATGCGAAGATGACGATGAAGAGGTGAAATCGACAGATTCCTCTGGACGCCTTAGAGACATTGGTTGCCAAACCATTGAGAGCAATCTATCTCAAAAATTCTCAGAGAGTGCAAAGTTGACAATGTTATATCCTAAAAAGGAGTCTGAAGATACTGACGCTAAGATGAAAGCAAGTGGAGACACTGGACATAACAGAAGTCCACCACCAGGCCATACTCCTCGCCGAGCTGGCGATGACCTTTTAGATATGGAAAAGAATCGCAGTCGGTTGAATGCAATTTTAGAAAGGAAAGATAAAGACCCGTACTTACCATCAGGTAACTTTTTAATATAACAACTTCTAACTGTACTTACAGTGCTGTGGGTTCTAGCATCATTTTATATAGCTAGCAAATATTGTGTCAGAGTGTAATTTATCTATAATATGTATGTATTTTATACATAGTGTAGGATGGCCACAGGCCAGGTGGAGTGACGATTTGCGCAAGATGTCTGTCAGAAGCTGGATGCAAGAAGCCCAAAATCAATCTAAGTGGTGTGCAATGGGAGAGGCCTATGTCCAGCAGTGGACTGCGATAGGCTGATGATGATGTATGTTTATGAGCAGTCTGGTTACCATAGCACAGGATCTGCCTAGTTTGGAATCAGACGAATGTGTGTAATATGTGAAGTTATTACAAAACCTAGTTATTATTATTATTATATATCTTATTAGAATGATCTCTTGTGTATAAAATGTGAGGGTTGTCTAACTGTAGTGTAACTATGGCATTTACACAATAGTTCTATGCCAAACTAAAAACTTAAATAACTTTCAGTTTTTTAATGTTTGTTCAACAATACTTGTGTAATTTACTCGCTTAATAGTTAATGCCTTGTATATATACAGGAACTTTTCTTTTGGATAAATAGTATTTCTATTCCTGTATCACTAACAAACAAACCTCCTTTCTAAGAAGAGGCCTATGTCCAGCAGTGGACTGTTAAAGGCTGTTGATGTGATGTGATGTGATCACTAACAATGTGTATTCTATGATGAACAAATATGATAATATAGCCTTTTTTCAGACATTATTTTAGTTGCAATCATTAGTTACAGTTATATTATTTACTAGCTGACCTGCGCAACTTTGCCAGCGTCTCTCAAAAGGAATAACATTTCCCGTTTTGCAAAATTTTTCATTGATGCTCGGCCCCTATAGGTCGTCATTATTCGTTACTTTTAAGAATATAAACCATACTAGGTTTTTTAAATTTATTTATATTTTAATTTCAGGTTACCAAAAGGGTGTGGTACCGAAATATCTGCGTGAACGTAAGGATCAAGGCCCTAAAGACATTGAAGGTGCGAAGATAGACGACGACAGCGCCGTGTGTCCACCTGGACATGTTACCTTACCCGATACAGAGAGAAAAGAGACACTAAGGATGCTTAGAAATAGTTAGTATTTTTTTGTAATAGGAATTCAGACAGTTCTACAACCATATCAGTAAAGCGATGTAAAGGAGAGGCCTATGTCCAGCAGTGGACTGTTAAAGGCTCTTGATAATGATGATTGATGATGTAAATGCTCGCCAGCCGTTCAAGTTTTAATGCTTATATAGAACATTCTCTGTAATTTTCATAATCTCTGAAGTTGACAGAATATCTAATGTGAATGGGTCATAATCAGTTTTTTAGTCTATCGTTTCTCAAAGGTCGAATAAGCGGTCCGAATATGCTAATTATTTTCTATCTAAAGTAGGTTCGTTTTCCTGTCGCTGTGTCTGTATATAATATATCTGCAATATAATATATTTAGTAGTAGTAGCTAGTATTTTTTGGGAACTTTTGGGAAAAAAATTGCATTCCCTAGTTATTTAAATGACTTATACTCTACTTTATAGACCTATCTGTAGAGAACTTAAAAAGTAGTGGTTGCCGTTGAGTACTTGGCTGCAAACTTAAGCAGCTGATATTTATTACATTTAAGGTTCATGACTTATATTCATCAGTAACAGTTACATTTTAAATTATAGCAATTTTTTTTGCCCATATATATGTGCAAATAGGAGTTGCTAGCTGTCTATAAATAAAAAAAATGATTTTGATCCACTCTATGTACTTGGGAATTTTACTTAATTTTAATAAGTCTATTTCTGTCTGTTCTAGAAGCCAAATATTACTTAAAGTCTGTATAATACTGTATTATGCTACTAAGTCTTAAAATATTATTTATATTTACAGGTTTTGCAGAACTAGTAAGTGAACTAAACAAACTACCAGTCAAAACAGATACTTTGAAAATGCGTAACAAGAAAATGGAGCTCGAAAAACAGTTAGCCAAGCTTGAAGAGGGAATCAAGGTATTTTCGAGGCCCAAAGTATTCGTCAAAATAGGGGAGTGAGTGAAATCAGGCTTAGACGTAAATTCGTGGTAGACTTCCGGTTTCTAGTGCCGTCTGAACCCGCCGACTTCCAGTTAAACAGACCCACAGTTTGGCCTGGGTAGTGGCCCTTGCGGACACCTTCTGTCACCCACTTACCTATCTGACCCATTGTGAACATCCTGGATACTATTACGCTAATGGCCCTGAATTTTTGTAAATATCTGCTAAACGCATGTTTACAACAAAATACTGTCACTTTCTTGACCGTTTATACTTTTTTATATTTATCCTTATACTATAAGAATTTGTAGTTATCTATTGCTATAAAAAAGTAAATATTTTATAAAATACTTCAAAGAAGACAGACAGGCTATTTACTACTACGACTAAAGAAAACTAGTGCGTGTCTCTAAACGTGAGGCTATAAAATTGTTGTGATCTCGCTCAGTTAAGATATCCCATATCGTTATATGTTAGTATTAATTATATTATTGTATGTTATTCTGTTATCGTAACTAATATAATACATATGTTTGTATGATTTACAGTGTTGTAACGTTTTTTGGAGATGCAAATACAACTATTGGTGTTTTTAGTCCATTCTTTACCAAATAAAATAGTTGTTTTAGTAATGTTATATTTCAATTATTTGGAACATATTATACACACATTAAAGAGTACTTACAAACAAGCAAGTAACATTAGTTTCCTCTGAAGGCTATTGCCAAATTAAATTGCCATTTTTAATACTCGTTTAATAGCTTATTATGTGTGTAACGGAATCTTCAAACGTGATTTTCACCCACTTTAAAACGTCTAATGACCTTGAAACTTCGCAAACTTATCAGGGACCGATGTCAATACAATAATTTTATAATTGTCTTGTGGCTTACATACTTGTTACTCTTTTAGTCTTAATGAGAAAATAATCACCATTAATGACTAAAAAAGCAAAAATAAATTATAGTTAAAAAAAACTAAAAAACGTGCTTTTGTAACTAGCCGAACTAAAAAGTTATTAGAAGATTAAATATTTTTACAACAATTGAGATCTAGCACCCCACGCTTTTTGACGTTACTTTTCTACTTTTTAGTTGGGCTAGTTACAAAAGCCTGTTTTTTAATTTTTTAAGATTATAATTTATATATTATTTATTATTTTTTATTATTTATTTATTTATATATAGACAGCAAAGCCATATAAATTAACACATGCATAATTAAACAGAATATTTTGTTTAATTTTGAGAATCCAGAATAGAACTTAGAGAATATATATGTATTTACACATTTAGTACAGATAAGGTTCTATTAAAACTAACAAATTACTACATAGGTATCTATTTTAATAGGAAACGTCAAATAAGCATTTTAATTAACAGGTGCTAAGATGCCATTTCTTATTCGACATAACTGCACACCAATAAAGCACTGACAATCACCGGTGTGTGGTATCCGAAGAGATCACAAGCAAGCAGGCATTGTATTATTAGCAGTGGTCAGTTTTAATTAATTTGCTTTGATACCCAACGGACAATTCAAGTACATCCACATAGCGGTTAGAACATTAGGGTTTGGCTGCACCATCAGGTCAAGGTGCTCGTAATATGGGCTCGTGCAACGTGCAAGAGATGTCGCGAGGACTTGATCTGACATATAGAAGTAAATGACTTAGTGCAGCGTGCCCGCGACTGACGACCAGTGGTCGCGAGTCTTGCAGCGCCCAGTCGCCAAAGGTTGATTGCGACTGCGCAGCGATTTGTTAACTATTTAAAAGATGCAGAATACTTAGTAGATGTTAGTGTAAATCTTCTCAGAATTTTCCAACAATAGATGTTCTGATACTATACTCGTTAATAGGTTCGATATTCTCGGATCAAATGTTTGCATGATCTGCAAATATGAGTATATAAATATTCTATCAGTCAATCTAGCTTTCATAGTACAAGCTCTGCTTAGTTTGAAACTAGATGGCGTTGTGTCAGATGTCCGAAATATTATTATTATATCCATTTCCCCTAAGTACTCTTTACAAATCAATAAGTTTGTATAGTACTAACTACAAGTCAAATAAACGCGCGACACGAGCCCATATCATGGAAATACTACCTATTGAAGTTAGTACACCTCTCAAATCTGTCTGAGCTGTGTTAGTTAAAGAGTTCTCTCCATCGACCAAGAATTGAGTTGATGACCTTCACTAATTATAGATAAGAACTATCTCGATCACGTCAACTTTCATAAAAAAAAAGCGAATCACAATACGTTCGTTTAGGAGCTATGATGCCACAGACACGTCAACTTATAACTCTTTTTGTGTCAGGGTTTAAAAAAATGTTTGATTTATCAATTCCATTAAATAAAAACATTCACTTATGCACTAATTTATCAGAAAGATATTCTATAAAATACGAATGGTGTCTTCTAAAGTATCTCGCATTTATTTGCATACAATATGAATAATTGTAACATTTGTAAATAAGTTTACAACAACATTATAGTCTAGAATGCAAATCTATTATTGTTCTCTAAGGCGTAAAACATCAGAATTTAGCACGAAAAGGCCATTGGTGATATTCAACCAATGTCTAGAAATGGTTAGATATGTCTTGGAGATTCTAGGCATAAACACACACGGCGAGCGCGTTGCGAAGCGCGCTCGCTTCCAGGGAGCACAGGGAACATGGGGTTCCCACACGGGGGGTTCGTCTACTCGTCTGTAGATGACCCGAGGTATGTCGGGGCACCAGGGACTTCCTTTCTAGGGTATACCTGGTTCCCCGGCTATTAGTACCCGGCGAAGGCGTGCGGTTTTAGTCGGTTCGAGGTATCCGAGGGGATTTCCGCACGGAAAAAAAAAAAAAAAGGCATAAACACACAGCGGGGATTATATACAAAAAACAAGTGTATGAATTCCTAGGGGAAGGCATTTTAGCATCACACTTAAATAAAATATTCACACTAGAATAATGCACCTAACAGAACAACATTACACATAAACTGATGATTTGTTTTAAACTATTTGTGCACTGCTAACTCTATCATTTTGGACTAGGTTGAATTTTATTCACAATAACATTTAAATTGACTCGCTGCTTAAATTATATTCAAACGTGAATCATATTTACTGGAAAATTTTATACTCCATTTACGTTATCCTCTTTCTAGGAATTCTATTTATTCCTTAGAATATTGCTCCTACTGCCTCACTGTTAACATATTGAATTCTACTCAAATTTTTTATCATCCTGAAGATGATTACGGACATTTTAAATATATTAAACCCTTTTTAGATCCTGAATTTTTAAGTCTCCATTAAACTTGATATAAAAACAGGACTGACTACTCAGTACTGATGAAGAATAAATAGTCGTTACTAGTATTTATTTTGTCTTTTATAAGTTTTATGAGCTCAGAATAAAAAAATTAAAAATCATTTCAACAAGTAACGGTAACAAAAAATATAAATATGTATTCACTACAGTCTTCTAACATGCTGAAACAAGTAATTGTTAAAGATAATAGGACCCTTCCTGTATAACTCTTCATCATCATTGTGCCATTTGTAGAACGAGAAGTCGGGAAAGAAGAATTTTATCTCCCTTGCAGCTGACTCCAGTGAATCTGGAAAAACAAGTTTGTACACATTGTATTACTTGAAACCGTCTGGCCACTTTGGTGTGGTAGGCCAACACCTCCGTTCTAAGGAGATGCCTATGTCAAGCAGTGTACTATTAAATAGTAATTATTTATAGTTATTTTGGTGTTATTTAATAGAGATAACACACTTTCTTTTTACTACACTAAAAGGTGATGGCTTACTAACAGCCAACATAGGTGTTACTTGAAAGGATTTTAATTAACACTGAGACATGAGAGAACAGTTACAAAGCATATACTTGCTGGTTACTTTTATGATTTTTATTATAGTTTTTAATTTTTTGAATAGAATAATAGAACTACTTGATGCGAAGAACAAGGACCACAACAACAACAACCCCCTCGCTCCCTTTCAAAGCTATGTCCACTGCCATCAACCAAATCCTTGTTGGCCTACTATACCACACTGGCCAGATGGGTTGGTGTAGGGTTAGTGTCAAGTTTTCCTTCTCTCTGCAGTGCTGTTGTTTTGTTTTTTCCCTTAGTGTGCTATTACGGCACCCACAAGATAACATTAGTGGTTTTACAGTACCAAAAACCAATAATGTTATGTTGTACTTACATCGTTCAAGTGTTAAATAAATTTAAAAAAAAAGGAACTAAGTACCTGATCCATGAGCCACATTACGAGTGTCTGAGAGTCCAAATATGCTTCTCAAGCAGTTCGGTTCTTTGAATTGACCTTTATACACACTAGTAGGGCCCAGAATCCGCCTCCATAGTTCTATTGCATTACAGTGTGCTATCACATGCAAATCTATGGCACCACTAGAAAAAGAAATTATATTTGTATAGATAATGCTTGTGCATTATATCGATATCCAATATCGGGTTTGTTCCTTCTTAATATGTTTGTAAGAACTCGCTATAGTTAGATCGATAGATTATATCCGGTAAGTTAAAGAAAAATAAATAATAAATTCATCCTCACCTAGCCATAAAAGTTATCAAGCGGTTGTAAAAGAACTTCCCTACGTGTTCTTCGTAAAACTTGCTGGCACTTTCTTTATCCAGAGAAACTCGTTTCGTTTTTACCACAACAAATTTGTTTCTTAAAACATTTCTGATGTACGATAGTGCAATTGGGTTTTTGATTGCATGCGGTTTTATAATTGCTAATGTTAGCTCTAACTTCTGCATTGTACTAATATTATCCTTTATATATCGTTTTATTCATAACTACCGAGCTTTTTCCAATCTTAATTATGTAAACAAATAAATATTTGACATTTCCAATTTTCAATATTTCCGCTTTTCGTGAACGAAATTGATGAATGCCGATAAGACTGTGACCATAGAATATAAAAGAACGAACACTGTTGTTTTTTTTTATGTTAGAGGGAGCAGACGGGTCACCTGATGGAAAGTGACCATCGCTACCCATGAACGTCTGAAACAGTTAAACATTGTTTTCGTATATAGCCTCACCCAGAAGAGCACTGAGCCAATGCCATATCTGATTTTAGATCCAGTACACTACTTATGCATCATCGACAGCCTATAATAGTCGTAGGCTGGACATAATTAGACCTCTGCTTAAAAAGGAGATTTTGGCCTACTAAACCACGCTGGCCAGACGGTATACGGGTATAGGTTTTGTGTTAAGTTTTCCTGCTCTTTGCAGTTCTGTGTTCCTGCGTTGTTAGCTCCCTTAGTCGGCTCTTACAAAACCACGCGATAAATAAGGGGTGGTGTGGTAACACTCCGGATTCTTAATCCGTCACCACACAGCTGACACTGCTTATGCCGTGCTACTTAAATCTGTGCTCAGATTTAAGTTGTTTCGTGGCTGTTACAGCTGCAGCCTGTGTAAACCATTATAAGTCCCAGGTTGACACCGTTTCGAGATTCATGTAATGAATCCATGATGATTGCGCCATGGTACGGAGCGCATGCGAGTGCGTAGAACTCCGCAGTTTCCTTCTGCGAGCAAGTTATACTTGCCTGGGGGTAACAGGTGAGGCCATCTGTCACCATAGCAGGCTGCAGCGCGGGCCTTTTCAGGAGCACAAAAGGAACATGGAGGTTCCTTTATGGCCCGAGGAATGTTAGGTATAAGGGATTTCCTGTTTAGGGTACACCTGGTTCTCCGGCTACTGGTACCCAAAACGGCGTGTGGTTTTTGGTCGGCTTGAGTCGAGACATAAAAACACCAGCCGTGGGTGACATTCGAGAGGATTTCTGTAAAGAAAAAAGAAAGGGAGCAAGGGTCATTTGAGGAATTAGCGAACTTTGGTATTACTCTCTAAAAACTGCTTCATTACATAGAAGATAAAAGAACTTTTACTGATGCTGACGCCCAAACTCGGCCGGAAGTCTGTATCTGGCCTAGTTTGGGAGTCAGCATCAGAATGAAGTTTAATCTTTTATTTGCTATGTTAAGAATAAGATGTGGTTTGAAGTTGGAAGGAGAATGCAAAACATATATGAAATCCCAATAAATGCTGTAAAACAAGTCGGTACCACAGAATAGTGTAAATCCAGAACCCACGATGTTGGTGCTGACAAAAACGATTAGTAAATTTTAAAAGAAACTAGTTATTAATATACCTATGATTTTCTTTCGTAATTACTAAAAAGCATGTTTTTATAAAAGCATATTATTTTTTCAGTAGGGTCGTTTTTCGTTAGTGTTTTTCAGTTGGTTTTAGATGTTGAATCTAGTGGAGAGTTCATTTAACTATAGGCAACACTGACTGGCCGGTGCAGCTCTAAATAGTGGCGTTTGCGTCTTGTCAGTCAATCAGTATTGTGTGTCTGTGTTTTTATCATAATAAACATCGTAGGTTATAATATAAAGTTATTTCAATAATATTTTGTATTTCTCTCTACAAAAATGCCCGAGTTAGAAAAAAGAAAAGCAGAAGAATTGGCCCTCGTTCCATCTAAACGAACTCGCCATGAAATTTCAGTTGTCGGCACAAGAGAAAAAGCTGTTGTTACTACGTCTGTGAGTGCTCTTTTTCGTTAATTTATTTAATTTGTTAAAATGACAACAACGGTGATAGTTACAAATGATACTTAACATATTCTTCTAAGTTACCGTGCCCTACAGGGTCCATAATGGAATGGAATTATTGTTTAACATATGGAGTGCAATAAATTGAAATGAATTATTGTGCAGGTTCCACGAACGTCGAACTTATATGCACCTATAATGTTATTGGAAGGACATCAAGGGGAAATATTTACATCAAAGTTTCATCCGGAGGGCAAACACTTGGCCTCTGCTGGATTTGACAGACAAATCTGTAAGTATATATACCAACGGTCATTATTTAATAAATCAGTGATTACGTTAATTCTAGTTCTACCCAGTGGAAATATATTCTTAAATAATATGTTCTTATGCAATGGGAGAGGCCTATTTCTAGCAGCGGACAGCAATACCCTGATGATGATGATGTTTTTATACCAATCTGCTTGATGCATGGTATTTTTTTTTTACAAGTATGGTGTCATAAGTAGATCCACTTATGATACCATACTTAGAAACATAACATTAAATACAGATTGATATAAAACAATTTTTTTTTGTATTTCCACTAGATTGGAATAGAATTTAATTTATTATGATACTTATATCTAATAAGTTATGCTTAGTTTCGATACACTCATGATCCACTTAGGTAATTTTTTTTAAATACCATTGTATAAGCAGATTGATATTAAAACATATTAAGAATATATTTCCACTAAGTAAGAATAGAATTAGTTATAGATAGTTCAACTCAGTTGTGCGCGCAACCCTATGTGTGTGTGGGCTTGTAAATATACAACTTTCATTCGTGTGGCGGTGACACGGCAGTCGGACGACGACTGCCACACGAATGAAAGTTCTACTATCTATAACTTATTATGATACTTATATCGTAATAAGTGAGAGTGGAGTATGACCATATGAGGAACTCTTGAAAATCCTGAAACTCACAACTCCAAAGGATTGTAGTGTATGATGAGACTCAATTGAAACATATACGATCTTAAATAGACATTATGACCTTCAAGAGTATTTTAAAACTTTTATACTAAATGACAATACTCATCTAAGAGGCCACAATCTAAAGCTTTGTACTAGCCTCGAACATGAACCTTCAACTACACTTTTTAGCAATTGTGTAGTTAGAGCATGTAACAAACTTCTAAATGATGTTATTTCTACCCAAAATGTGAACCAATTCCAAAATCAACTTGACAAATATTTCATTAAATCTAAGAAGAAAGCTCATAGGAATCTCTCTCTCTTTCTCTCTTTAAAAAGACAACTACTGCATTAGGAATACATTTCTGTGTTGCGGGGGACTTTACAAACATACATGAAACGGACACAAAGAACACTCAGACTCAGAACAACAATTTGTGGATCACACAAGGTTTGAACCCACAACACTCGGCGCAGTAGGACGCGGTGTGGCGACCACTTAAACCACTACACCATCCGTGCGGTCATCATGTCAGTCAGTCAGTCATCAATCTATGTGGATACAGCCTTTTATCAGTTATTTCAACTGACTGCCAGTCAAAATAGTCAGACAGTTTTTTTATAATTCACTTTTTTATTTTCAGTTCTTTGGAATGTATATGGGCAGTGTGAGAATGTTATGGTAATGAAAGGTCACACCGGTGCCGTAATGGAACTGTGCTTCTCACCGGATGGTTCACACTTGTACAGCTGTGCCACAGACAACTCCGTTGCCGTGTGGGATGTACCTACTGGTACGAGGATAAAGAAGTTAAAGGGACATGCAAATTTTGTTAATTCAGTGTCAGGTTTGTGCATATTTTGTGAACATTAGCAAAATAAGTTTTGATAAGGCCTAATATTGAGCTAATTGAAATTTGTGTAATAGTAGGTAGTTACATTTTGGTTCTTTTTCTACGTGCAATGAGTAAAGAATTAACCTACCTAGATAAGCCGACTGTCTGCAATGCACTTTATATATAAAATGGATAATATACTATGACTGCACCTTTTTAATTTTTATTTCAATAGCACATTAGCTGGTCACTACAAATCCATTAAATATATTCTGTTAATATGAGCGTCAGTTGAAATATTTTTTCATTCTACCGTCCTACATATGGGACAGTAGGCTTATCAGGGTTAATAAATTATTAACTTTATTAATTGATTATTTAAAGAGGACCTAATGAATCGTCCGATAAAAAATATGGAGTGTCACTATTCACCTATTCATCCCATGGGTGTTGTAATAGCCGAATAAGGGAGCAAATTACGCAGGATAACAGCCCTGCAAAGAGAAGGAAAACTTGACACAAACCCTATACCAACCAGTCTAGATAGCGTGGTATAGTAGACCAAAATCTCCTTTCTAAGGAGAGCCTATGCTAGCAGTGGACTATTAGAGGCTGTTGATGATGATCTAGTGAATGTTTATATATACTAGAGATTGCCTGGAGGTCAAATATCATTGACCAGTATAATTTGAACTGTCATTGTATACACTTTTGTACCATGGACCTTAATGCCATATAGCCCTGTTACACCTATGGCTTAAAATTTTAGCCTCTTAGTTTTTCTACATACAAACGTTAAGTATAATACACATAATTGTTTTTAAAGGGGTACAAAGAATTTTCTTCTCATATCTAATAATATATATAAATATCACATTTCTCTAATGTTTGTGGCTGCACTCCGAAACGGCTTGACCGATTTTAATGAAGAAAAGTATGTTTTTAAAATTGGGGGTAGGAGCCCAATTTTTAATCGCGATATTTATACGGCAGAACAATGTTTCATATTGGTTTGCAATGCTACATTTGTTTAAATCAATTACAGGTGCAAGGAGAGGTCCAGAACTGCTAGTTTCTGCTTCAGATGACAACACAATAAAGCTATGGGATGCAAGAAAGCGTAACCCTATAGCTTCCTTCGACAGTTCCTTCCCCATCACATCAGTTCTATTTAATGATACCGCAGAAAAAATTATATCTGGAGGTGTTGACAATGTTATCAAAGTGTGGGACATTAGAAATAATCAGATTGCATACAAGATCAAAGGACATTCGGATACCATAACAGGTAAATTACCATAAAATACTGTAAATGATGGGTTGGGTTTTGTGATCCTAAATAGCAACTGCTGAGTCTGAGGTTGTGGGTTCAAATCCTACTGAGGATAAGTAATTGTGTTATGAAGTGATAGTCTTATGTATGTATTTTTACATTTTGTTGTTTGTGGTTGTTCTGATACATCTTTTCTACTATGTCTAAAATATTTTTACCAGGCTATTTCTTAAGTAAAAATATGGTGTGGGTAAGTGTTTCTTATTTAAAAAAAAAAAAATATGTTTCACTTCATCTTCTCTTTTATTCGATCTTGTATTCTCTTCATTGTCTATTTACCTTTTAGTCCTTAATAATGGACATACTGGCACACATCAAAACAATGTTGTGGTATATTTCATAATGCCATTGTATCCATCTGTAAATTGCAAAAGAGTGGCCATGAGTTTGTTTGCCCTTTCGTCTCATAAGGCTCAACCCCTTGGAAACGGGTGGTTGTGGATCGGCACAGGCATATCATAGATTTTGTATAAGTTTAATTTTTATTAAATTTATTTTGCTTACTATTTGACAAAACAGAGATTGATATTGTGTGTGTTGATCTATGACTTTATAAAAAAAGAACTTTATAAAAGACGATTTCAAAATTTTTTTTTTTTTATTAAATAAAGATATTTTGAGTTTGTGTTGAGCAGATTTTATTTTATTGTATACTAGCTGATACCCGCGACTTCGTTTGCGTGGATTCTCTTAAGTGTTGCCCTAGTGGTGTAGTACGATACGCGACTGCAGTCCATTAGGCCTCGGGTTCGATTCGGCAAAATTTTATATAGTTATACATAGCGCAGTGTGGGACGACCGCTTACCCGATGGACGGACGACCTGGTAAAGTTTGCCGGAAACCGTTGGATGCAGGCCGCAATCAACCGTCCCCGCTGGAAATCATTGGGAGAGGCCTATGTCCAGCAGTGGACAAGCATAGGCTGAGGTATATATACATAAAAAAAATAAGCCAATGTTTTTCCCAAACTAGTTTGATTGAACTCTGCTATCAGACCTCATCAAGCCATCCTGCGATATCAAAGTTCTGTACAAAGACTGTTGTCAGACTTTTTACCCGCAGATGTTCGTATGGCAACCGGAACCGACAATTGATTACTTAATTTGAATAAAATTTAAGTAAATGTGGTGTATAATTTTCAGGCATGTCATTGTCCTACGACGGTTCTTACCTGCTGTCCAACTCGATGGACAACACGCTGAGGATATGGGACGTACGGCCCTTCGCCCCGTCCGAACGCTGCGTCAAGCTCATGTCGGGCCACCAGCACAACTTCGAAAAGAATTTACTCCGATGCGCGTGGTCTCATGATGGCTCTAAGGTTTGTTTCATGCATACATAGTATTATCAAAACCGCAGTAAAAAACAAGCCAGATTCTCTAAATACTTAATACTGTAGGGAAACAAGCTTTAATTTAAAACATGTGGAATCGAACATACTAGAAAGAAAATGAATATTCCAAAATGTTCTAGAAGTTTCGAGAGATATTTCTAGCTTAAATATGATTCGTCACGAAGTGGTGTAGTGATATTCTAGTTTTGTGATACATCGAGTAAACAAAAACACAGACTGGACTGGACTTACAGCTCTAGCGAGCGTCCGTCCTCCACCCGCCTTCACCTTCAAAATCAGATCTCCGAGCTTCTGTAAAAATAAAACATAATGCTGTCTCTCTACCCAACAAACTCCTATTTACAATTGCAGGTGGCAGCAGGCTCCTCGGACCGGTTCCTCTACATCTGGGACACTACATCTCGTCGGGTGCTGTACAAGCTCCCCGGACACAACGGCTCCGTCAACGATGTGGATTTCCACCGCACAGAACCCATAGTCCTGTCTTCGTCTAGCGATAAACAATTATACCTTGGAGAAATAGACAATTAGATATATTATTATATTTTTAATTAAACTAAACTTAGGATGCATTTTTTTTATTGATATTATTAATATAGTAATAATAACCTCACACATCTCACACACAGTCTGTGCCATGGTAATCAGAATGCTGATAAATATACATATTTTCTAAATACATACAAATTTATTATCGTGCTCATCACACAATCATTTGTCCTGGGTGGGAAGCGAACCCACGACCAGAGGTCAGCAGTCAAAGTCACTAACCAGTAGAACAACAGGCTCGTCAATATCTTTGAAATAAGTCAAATAACATGATATTATGATGGTCATTTTTCAAGGTCACTCGATGAAAGTAAGAGAGGCAGTCAAAAACTATAGAAATAATAACTTCACACATCTCCCACACGGCAATCTGATCCCAAACTAGGCATGGTTACCAGACTGCTGATCATCATCATCATCATCAACAGCCTATAACAGTCCACTGCTGCACATAAACTTTTCCTCAGAAGGGAGGTGTTGGCCTACTATACCATGCTGGCCAGACGGGTTTGGACTGGCTGTTGTCCTGCGTATTTTGCTCCCTTAGTCGGCTCTTACGACACCCACGGGATGAATAGGGGTGGTGACATTCCGTATTCTTAATCCGTCACCACACGGACTGACTGCTGATAAACATACCTATTTTTAACTGCATACAATTATAGATAAATTACACCCAGAAACAGAATGGTAATGTAAATAGGCGGTTCCCCACAGAACTAGTAGCAGCACGTGGAAACTGTCCCCGAACGAGCGCAGAACCCTCGCTATTTGGCTATTGGGGCACATTCTCCATACTTAACCTGCTAATAGCATTTTACATTCCGAAGTGTGTCCACTTCCCATTGCACATTAAGAAAGATAACATTATATAACTGGAGTTAAATGAGATGTATTATTCTTACTGGGAATCTCTTAGTTGCCCCTAGACACTGTAACTTGCCACCACAAAATATATAGGATTTCGTTTTTTTAACAAAAGATCTAATATTATCTAAATTAGTTTATTATTGGTAATTACAACTCATAATAAATATGGGTAGTATACACATTTGCCAAATTTCAACAATTAGCCAAGTGTCTCGGCTTGCCTGTAATTTAATAAGCTGCTTGTCACCAATCGAGGGGTCGGTTCTTGGACGCAGCTACAAGGCTTGCTCTGTATATCCTCGACTGAAGAATGAGTGTTGCACTGGAGATACTATACCCTTTTTGGAATATTACCAGAACAAATATTGCATTTGCAATCTATCTATCTTTTATACATATAAAGTTATTTGCCATGACTGACTGTCTGAAATCAGTAGGCAGTAGACGCTATTTATGTTCTGAGTTCCCATTCAGAAAGGATTTTTGGAAATTTCAGCCCTAAGAGGATACTAAAGTGATGGACGGTTTTGTATGGAACTTCGCCATTTTCAAAGTTAGAAATGATCACAGGAGCAAGGCCGTGGGCAACAGCACGTTCCAAATATAAGAAGCTAATTTACACACACATTAGCTTCATCTACAAAATTCCTCTTTTTACTTCTTCAAGTACATTTTACTAGTTGGTTGACTATTCCTTTCCGTAACTCCTCCTTTGTCCGTGTGGTGACGGATTAAGAATACGGAATGTCACCACCCCTATTCATCCCGTGGGTGTCGTAAGAGCCGACTAAGGGAGCAAACTACGCAGGACGACAGCACAGCTAAGAGAAGGAAAACTTGAAACAAACCCTATACCAACCCGTTTGGCCAGCGTGGTATAGTAGGCCAAATCCTCCTTTCTAAGGAAAGGCCTATGTCCAGCAGTGGACTGTTATAGGCTGTTGGTGGTGGTGGTGGTGACTATTCCTTGTTGACATATTAATCTTACTTGGCTGATAGTTTTCCATTGAGCATCGTTATTGTATTAGTGTCCATTCACCAATTTATGTGGAGGATGAGGAAGGAATACTTGTTCTTACATATCTTGACTTAAGCGTAAGCGTGAAGCTGTTGTGAACAACATTAAAACGTATTTTTAAGTTATTTAAGGCAATAATGTATTCAACAATTCCAAAATATCACTACATTGCATCACATAATTTCCAATTAGTTACTGACATTGTTTATTTTTAATTTCTATAAACACCATATAGTACTGCTTATCTATCGCTATAAAGCCCGGGTGCCCAATTGATATGGTGGCGGCAATTCAGGCACAAAACCTAACTCAAACTTGTCACTTTTGAATGCTTCTAAATCAGTCTCAGATAATTCTTCTTTCTTGCTATAAACTCCAGGATCATCAGAAATAAGCTGCTTATTGGCTTGTCCAAAAATAGATGCTGGACTGTTATTCTTTTGAAAAATATTCCCTTGGCCAAAGGGTGATGTATTTTGTACTGGTGCAAAAGGCGAGTTACTCTGCTCTTGACTGAATGGGGACTTACTCTGTACTGGTGCAAAAGGTGAGGTACTTTGTTCTTGACTGAACGGTGACTTCTGTACCTGGACAAACGGTGAAGTATTCTGATTTGGAGGGGAGCCAAATATACTTTGATTGGCCGATGCAAATATGTTTGATGGGCTTGCTTGATTTGGATTAATCTGAACTGCGCTGGCAAAAAGAGATTTTGCAGAGATGTTTTGATTTTCTCCAAATGCATTAGGGGGTGAGCTTGGTCCAAAAACATTTGCATTAGCTCTTGAAAATATCTCCATAGCTGGATCTGGTTGGGTGTTAAATATACTCTGTTGTCCTTGGCTAAATATTGATTTCGCCGTATTAGCCTTAGGACTAGTGGACTGAGTATTTTGAAGAGCACTACGGAATATTGACGATGCAGTATTGCTACCGGAACTGTATACGTTCTGATTATTGCTGGTGAACGGAGAAGGTAATACTTCACCTTTGTATAGGCCTCGTAATACTTTGATAATGTTCATATCAGGCTGTAGTATCTGTTCATACTTTTGTTTTGTCTCTTTGAAGATATTGTTCATGTAGGTGATCTGAAATGTAGACATTAAAAATTATTAGCATATATTATCTCTTTTCTTTATATCAGTGATACAAGACCAGTGCTGGTATTTTTTCATTATTTTTTTTTATGTTGGAGGAGGCAGACGAGCAGACGGGTCACCTGATGGAAAGTGACTATCGCCGCCCATGAACGTCTGCAACTCAGGAGTCACAAACGCGTTGCCGGCCTTTTAGGAAGGAATACGCATGACAGTTGCTTACTGCAAATAATTTGCCAGAACACATTAGGTGTCAATTAACAGTGTGGGAGATAGCAGAACACAACATTTCAGTTAGATAGCAAGGACTTGAGATAAGAATTCACACCATAGCACATAGAACCTAAATAAGTAACTCCGTATATGATCTTTAGTGTATTAAATGATAGACCCTATGTCGCAGTTGAAATCTTTCCAGATTGAAATGCAACAATCTCACACTTACCGCTTGTTCTAAATTGTTACTATTCTTAGCTTCGTAAATAAACAGTCTTGCTTCCTCTGGAGATAAATCGTTGATGCCTGGGAATATGGGCTTTTCTTTAAATGGTGAGTAACATGACAGTATCCATTGTCCTCCTCTGAGGGCAGACTGCATATCTGCTTGTACTTGAGATACCAGTTGTTCATCCGAGATTGAGGACTGTGGTGGTGCCGCTTGTGGTTGAGGATTTGCTAAAAATATGTCACGTGATATTACATCTCCTATAAGCAAGCCTACAACTTTTGTGTATGGCTTTAGTATCATTAAAGTTACTTTCCTATCCTTAGGGAGCTTCTTTTTCTAGATGAAATTGGCAACTTTATTATGCTTGTGTACGTGAAAGCTATGTTTTACGCCTATTTTAAATATCATGGTGACAACACAGCTGACACTACTTTTTTCGATGATTTTACAGATTTCACTAGATATATTAGTGATCTAAGGCAGTGGTTATATAGTATAATGAAAGAAAGTATTAAACAAGTGTTATTTATTCCAGATGACAATTAATCTAACTTACATTATAAAGACGAAAGTTTTTATGGTTACTCTTTCACGCATAAACGGCTAAACGGATCCGGATGAAATTTGGCACAGAGATAAATTATAGTCTGGAATAGCACATAGGCTACTTTTTTGCCGAAAAAATGTAGTGTTCCCGTGAAATGAGCAAGGTGAAACAGCCGGCGCGGGTAAATAGTATCATATATATATTACTTACCGTGATATGAATATTTGGAGCCATAAATATGGTCATATCTGCAATTCTGCCCATACCGACAATATCCTTGTTGGAAAAATCTACACACAGTCATTTTGTATAGGTTAACTAAGGAAATTGTTATTGTGTAGTCGTTTTTTTCTGTATTGTTTCAATTCATATGGTCCTTTTCTGTTTTGATGCAACTTCACATCGGATTCTGACTAATGGGTATGTTGTGTAATCATAATTTAGCCAACGTCATATACGTATCACGGGGGACAAGCTGTCTCAGGATTTTATGTAAAACTGTGAATTAAAAATAAAACTATTTATTTTGTCAGCCGTTAGGTAGGTAGGTACTCTCATATTATTCAATTTACTCTGTGATTAGGTACGTGGTGAATGAACACAGTACACACACAACACAACACACATCACATCACACACTTCAACTTCAACTTTTGGTTAATGGCTTTGTGGTAGAGTGTAACCACAATTTCGCCAATGTCATGTATTTGAAAGACAAACTTTTCAATATCACAGTGTAATATTTGTTTTTGTTTTACTGGTTATTTATTATTTTGTATATGTATAAATATTATTAGCTGTATATATATTTTACTAGTTTAAGTTTTATCATGCCTGTAAAAGATAACAATTTTTTCATTCTTATTCTTTCATTCTCAAAATTTCTTTTGACTCTACCACAGCTCTACATAAAATCACACACTTCGTTTAGACCTGTGTTTAGACCCGAGCCCACTGTCAGGCGCTGTCACTATCAGATTCCATGCGTTTAAGAGTTACGCTTAGTTAGCTATCAGTTGTGGCAGTTCTAAAAGCAGTAACAAAAGTTAAGAACAAGAAGCGCTGTAAAAAAAAGTTTCCTGGTTAAATTTATCTCCAATCAACTAGTTTTATCTCTACTTTTGCGTCAGAGGTTAAATATATTGCATGGATGATAAAATTTATCTAAAAAATTATACTAAGGTAAATCATTAAATGATCTACAAGAAACAATTTTTAATTATACATGAATAAGTATGTATCAAAATAAAAACGTCCAAGCATGTAATAAAATCATGAAAGCTAATATGATTATTAATCGAATCCAAATTTGCACTTTCATTTATTTTTAACACCTTTAAGTTTTTTACAAGATGTATGAAAGAAATATATAAAAAATCAACGTTTAAGCATTATTTTCATTAGTGCTTATATTCTAATGTATTCAGGACCATTTCGTAATAAATTACACATTAAAATTAATACGCTGTGTGTTAAGTAGAGCGTAAGAAAATACAGAGAATAGTTAAAGAAAAGAATAGGGTGGTCGAGCGCAAAATAGAAATATTAATTCTATTGCTATTTTGACCCCATTTTAATGTTATTGTATTAAACAAATGTCAAAAATATTGTGATGAATGAATCATGGTAAATTGCAGAATAAAATTTAAGTACTTAGGAGTTTTTTGTTATTAACTTATTAGAAGGATAGGGAAAAGATCCTTTTTTTTCCGATTTCTAAACAAGTGTTATAATATCAAACTCAATTGACAGCTAACATCTGTGATCGGCGAACGGTTATCAGTGGTAAAAGTCGAGGTTAAACTTAAAGTTAGGAACAGTTTTAAAAGTTTTAAAAATAAGCATTTGCATCATAAAGTATTGCTGAGTATCTGCCTCAATTTGAACTCGATCGCCCTTAATAATATGAAAAATTACAACGTTAATTTGAATTTTACAGTTTAAAAGTGGCGAAATTATAAATTGGTCAAAACAATCTTAGTAACCAAACAAAGTGGCGTTGTTTGAATTTGAAAATACCATAAACTCGTTCCAAAATGACGGATAGTAGGTTAGTACACTATTTATAATTAAAACTACTCTGCTTAAATAGGAAACATTATGATTTGTACTTAGTTTATTCATGAAAATATTTGATGATCAAAAGCAATGATATTTTATACAGACAAGAGGTAGATACGCCACCAACGCACCAAACGCAAGGGTCCTAATTAGGACCACTGCGAGCGAGCGCACTACATACGTATTAATTAATTCGTGCATATTCATAAAATGCCTTATTGTGTATTCCGAAAGTGCACAAATTACGACAAAAAGGTAAATAAATATAAAGGAATATTAAACCACAGGTAAGTGAATGTTTTGCTCTAAAATGGATTAGCAGTATATTGTATGAACAGATATGGTACAAATATTTTGTTCATGAGGTATGAATATAATATTTATTTATTTATTTATCACAAACACATCCCACACAAATCTTACAGGAAAGTCATGCGATTGTGGGGCTACAACTAATATTAAACTAATTCAACACATCATTTTAAAATAATAGAAGTCAAACTAAACATTAAAAAAAATTAAAAATAGCCTACTAATCACACAATTTAAAAACTTATCTATACTAATATTATAAAGCTGAAGAGTTTGTTTGTTTATTTGTTTGTTTGTTTGAACGCGCTAATCTCAGGAACTACTGGTCCGATTTGAAAAATTCTTTCAGTGTTAGATAGCCCATTTATCGAGGAAGGCTATAGGCTATATATCATCACGCTAAGACCAATAGGAGCGGAGCACCAATGAAGAATGTTTCAAAAACGGAGAAAATTTATTACTATTGAGAGACGCAGACGAAGTTGGCGCGGGTCAGCTAGTATATTATAAGTTATACAATACTACATTTATTATAACCCTCTCCAGCTCACACGACTTACATGAGAATATATAGTCTAGTGCTAACCTTGATGATTACACGGATTACGTGAGTATGTGGCATTTTCACCAGTAAGTTGCTTCTGGGACTAGCAGCGTAGAATGTCGCCTCATCCACACATAGCGGTCTGGCACACTGAGGCTCAGGCGCTCCAGCAAATGAGAATTCCCGACGCACTCCTCCTGTACCCCACCATGCCAAGCACATACAATGTGAAGTACATTAAGGTATAAAATGGGTACACGCCATATAACTTAATGTATAAGTGCCTGGTAAAGTTATTTCGGACTCTCCAAAAAATTTTTAGTTTTTAAAAATTTAGTTTCAGTTCATTTCATTCCAGTTTCAGTAAACATTTAAAAGGGTAAAAGTTAAGGACTGCCTCGGTGGTGCAGTGGTAGCGTATGCGACTGCTGTGTTGAGGTCTCGGGTCGGTCCAAATGTTTGTATTATCTGTAAATATTTGTTTCCGAGTTCGGGTGTGTTCTATGTACAACATGTATGTATTTACAACAAAAATATAAGTATTCTATCAGTTAATCTAGTTTTTATGGTACAAGCTCTGCTTAGTTTGAAACTAGATGGCGTTGTGTGTCAGATGTCTGAAATATTATTATATAACTTTCAATGCTTGATGACAATCAATGTCTACCAGATGGGCACGGAATGTTTTTCACAAAAAAAATTGACCTATGTATGTATATTAGAGGAATTACAGAGAAAAAAATGAAATGAGAAGTCAAAACACAAGACCTATGTGATAAATATTTATAAACTGATGATAAATGAACTGACCGTAATCCATTTTTGCATCATTTTTCATTGATGTTCAGCTCCTGTTGGTCAAAGTTTTGTGTTACACAGCCTTCCTCGAAAATGGACTTGTGGCGACTCCCACATACAAAGAAACAGAAACATACTACAGCGCCATCTAATGAAGACACACCGAACTACGGAGTAACTACTAAATAAGAATTGCTAATCCTGTATCGCGATATAAAGAATTCCCTCGCCGATTAGCATATACAATATCCCAACATCGACCTTTGGGCCGCGGCCCGCCAGGCATGATCACCTCGCCTGGTCGGAGGATCCTCCCTTTGTGGACACTCAAGAACAATGAATGTGGCAAGTGTAACACCTAATTGTAAACCCGTATTCGCAATGAAAATAAATTGATTGATTGGCTCACACATCATCATCATTGTTGATGGGCCTGTTGGTTTAGTGGTCAGTGACTCTGACTGCTAAACCGGAGGTCGTGTGTTCGATTCCCACCCAGGACAAATATTGTGTGATGAACACGGTCATTTGTTCTGTGTCTGGGTGTAATTTATCTATAATAAGTATCTATTTAAACATATTTAAGTATACTAACTTTTAAACTTTCGCGTTCCATGATAATTAATATTATTTAACGGGAATTAACGCGATCTCTTATTTAGGGTATTACATACCCTAAATAAGAGATCAGAATAAGGACACTGTTAGTGTGGTATGTGACGGTACATGGCGACACAAAAATAATATCGAAAATGTGCGGGTAGATGAAGAGCCTTCTACTTCACGGATTCGACGACGGAGGGCGTGCGCCGATGAGCCAGTCAGCCTGTGACCACGGCCGGTGCAACCTGGTCGAAACGTCAGGCAAACCAGAGGTATGTAATACCCTAAATAAGAGATCGCGTTAATTCCCGTTAAATAATATTAATATTTAAGTATGTTTATCAGCAGTTTGGTTACCATAGTACAGGCTCTGCCTAGTTTGGAATCAGACGGCGTGTGTGAGACATGTGAGATATTATTATTGTTACCTAAAGATACTTGAAAGATAAAGAAGTATTTCATTGTCTATGAAACAGAATGTTTTTTGACCTGGATTTGTATCCATATATGATTCATATCTTTATTTATTCATTCTTTATTGTACTCATATTGTCATGAACAAAGGCGAGCTTAACCCAAAACTGAGTTTACTTCCAGCAAACCTTAAGCGAATAGAGAACAACAGAGAAACTTAAGGGCACAGCACTTAGGAATCAATACACAAAAGCATATAGATTAAACAAACACCGACATTAATTAATATAGTAAGATATATTATATATGTATAAATACATACATACTTGTATATACACAGATACACACATACTAAGGGTCTGATTATTGAAGCCTGAGTTCAAACCTTAATGTGATCAGAATACAATACTCCAATACAAGACCCCTTATCCCCTTAGAGTCATTAGTTTTTCCCTTAGATTATTTTCTAACTAACATCTCTCCTTTCTTTATTTTTTTATAACACACTAGCTGGTACCCGCGACTTCTCGTGGAATTTGAAAAGCGCTGCCTTATTGAGTTCGATTCCCGGACCGCGCAAAATTTTATAGGATTTTGCTGAGAGGATGAATAGCCTAAGTTACTCCGTATATAGACAGCAACCTGATAGTAAAATATTATCAAAATCCATCCAGTCGTTTTGAAGATTGCCCGGAACATACAGACAGACAAAACATATTTGAACTGGTTGTTAGGCATAGGTATCGTGCAAATAACCGTTTTAGTAATAACCGTGTCAAAATACTTGTGTCTCTTGAATTGTAGGTGTTCGTAATAGACAGTAGTCACTTACCTACTACTTAGGTAGCAAACGAGCAGACTGCTCACCTGATTTATTTTTTTCTTATTTATTTTTTATAAAAGACAACGCCCGCATTAGGAATATATATTCCTGTGTCGCGGGGGACTTTACAAACATACATGAAACGGACACAAAGAACACCCAGACTCAGAACAACAATTTGTGGATCACACAAAGTGTTGTCCTATGTGGGGTTTGAACCCACAACACTCGGCGTAGTAGAAAGCGGCGTGGCGACCACTTAAACCACTACGCCATCCCTGCAGTCCTGATGGTGAGCAGTCTGCTCGTTTGCTACCTAAAAAAGCATCAACTTTAATTTCTAATTTAAAAAGGTAGACCAGTATTTAGCATGGTATTATATCTCACATACGACCATCTGATTCCAAACTAGGCAGAGCCTGGACCATAACCATAGCAATGGTAACCAGACTGCTGATAAACATATATTTTTAAATACACACATATTATAGATAAATTACACCCAGACACAGAACAAATAACCGTGCTTATAACTGCAGTCGGGGTCACTAACCACTAGACTAAAAGGCCCGTTGATGGTATTGGTACCACCTACTGCTATGTGAGCGCAATAAGCGTAGGTGTGTTGCGTTAGCGATCCTGGCTGCTAAGTAAGAGATCATGGGTTCTCACCCAGGACAAATATCAGCAACGCACTTGTCATTTTCGAGCCACGGGTGTCCATGGGTGGCGGTAGTCACGAGGTGACCCATCTGCTAATTTGCCCCCTATGCCATAAAAAAAAAGTAATTATTTAGAAAAAAATGTGCCCTACTGACTACAATAGACTTTCCTCCTACTGCCTAAGTGAGACTAAAGTGGCCCGCAAAATATGGGCATCTTATCTCTCCGTCTATATTTCCAGTAGGATGAGTGAGAATAGTATATAATACGTAAAACTTAAGCACCTGGTCCTCTTATATTAAAGAGTAAGTTGCTTCTTGTTCTAAACGTCACCGTATGGAGCTACTACAGTAATTACTCAAGATGCGTAGTCAGCTTCAGCCAGAAAAGACCTAGGCCAGAAAAACTGATGATTGCTGACAGATATATGACATTCACTTAGTTCTCGAGGTTTTGAAAACTATACTACTACCATACTAATTATATATAAATATATCACAGCTCCAATATAATCAACAATGGATCATGCAAGAAAGGTAAGCAGAAGCATAAAACTTTTCTGTTCTGTGAAAAGAAGAATGCGAAAAATAAAGTGCAATTAGCCATTGTATGCAAGGATATGAACATTTTAAGAAGGACAAAAATGAAACCAGTAGAAAACCTCGTTTGCCCCGTTTTCCTGTACATAGTAGAATCAAGGCTGGACCACAACCACATCAATGCTTTCGAGATAAGGTGCTGGAGAAAAATACAGTGAATATCCTTGACAGCTCACCGTGCCAATGCCTCCATCCTTACAGAACTAGTCATAATGTCACCCTTAGGTCTTCGAAATTAACCTTGGAATACTTCAGTCACATCGCGAGGAAAGAAGGTAACATCCTCGAAAGACTGGTGATTACAGGAAAGTTTGAAAGGGAAATACCCGGAAGCCGAAGCCTGGACTGCTGATCAGTCAACCCTCCAATTCCGTGTCTACACTACCTACTCCGCAAACAGTGCAAACATTAAGGCGGACTTTCATGCAGATACGGAACAGAACTGCCCAGAATGTCTTCGAAATCAACCTTGGAATACTTCAGTCACATCGCGAGGAAAGAAGGTAACATCCTCGAAAGACTGGCCATTACAGGAAAGTTTGAAAGGAAAATACCCGGAAGCCGAAGGCTGGACTGCTGATCCGTCAACCGTCCAAATCCCTGTCTACACTACCTACTCCACAAACAATGAAAAACATAAAGGCACTTTCCAAGCTTTAAAACGTTTGTCTGAACGTCGCAACGTAAATTATGCAAAATCGCTTCTAAGCCAAAGGAATAAGACTCATTTCGCTTGCTAAGCCCTCTCGCCTGGCAGGCAATCACTTTTTGGAAACCCATCATATCGCCGGCGAGATTACAAACCGTACCAATATTATCAAAATATTACAGAAGTAAAAATTAATTATTAACCTGTTTAATTGGATACATTTTTGCGATACATAAGATATTCTATAGGAAGGCGATAAAAAATTACCAATATCTAAATACATCAATAAATTCTGTACATTTTTAGTCTCATTGATGATATGATATATCAATGTGTTTTCCATTTAAATAATAAATACTCACCATTTTTTATTTTTATTCATCGTGAAAAGAACTTTGCCCTTTCATATATACCTTCCTTTATTTTATTTTTCATAAAAAATCTCTTCACACATTAACATAGCATTGATTACTGTTAATTATCTTATAAATCCATAATTTACTTTTGTTAAAATCACAGTTAGTACGCACTTAATATTGCTTACGGCTGGTAAAAAATATTAGCAATGAACCTAATATAAATCTAATCAAGTATTTTCGAGAATTATAAAACGAACAGCAAAACTGGGATTGTGCAAAAACTGACGTATATAATAGTAAAATAATCACCTAATAATAGCTTTTACACTGAAAACATTAATTGACAAACATCTTTGTAATTTGACACGCATACTTTTGGGAATTTTGCAGCCATAGACACTATCTGATTTCTAATTAATAAGTGTTGCCAAATCTTGAACTTGTTTTCTCCCGGAATCCTTTATTTTCTTACTGATATTTGTCATTGTACAAGTGTGAGGATTATTAATTTATAATACGCCATAAAACATTTCAAATACTATCACTAATTTTGAGAAATCTTAATAAAATAGTTTAACACTTACTTAAGTTTTAAGTAAATACTAAAATAAAAAAAGTGTATGTATCTATTACATTTAAATTCGAACTATTTATTGTTACAGAAAAATGAAAATCGACCGAGACCATATTTACGTAATGCAAATATTGTTTGCAGTTGGCATCACAATAGGTAAGTAAGGTTTACTTATAGAGACTAGACGTAATAAGAACCGTATCAATGCATTGCAAATGTATCCGTTAGTAGATAGATTTAAGGTACAAAGAACAATGGCGAATTCGTAGTTGAGTATTATTTGATTGTTTTAAAATTTCATTCGTAGAAAACTAATTGTAGTGCATATCTACGTTTTTTAAACTATCATCTAAGTCAGTAAATCACCAGGAAAAGAAAGCAGAATATTTTAAGTTTATTTGATTATTTTAATTTCCTTTGTCAGTTTAGTGTTACCGTTTCACGGCCATTTTTTTTAAGTAGTGGAAATACTGTCCAATAAAGTGTCGTAATATGGTAATCACTTAATAATAATATAATTAGATACTAGTTTTATAATTCTAAGTACTGAATCAATAAAGACTGTTGTTTGTGGTGCATTATTGAACGCATTATGTACGTATTTGAAAATCCTGTAGTGGAATATAGGGAAGTAAAAAATAAATAAAGTAGCAACTGCAAGCTGAAAAAAAAGGAAAGGTTACAGATGAAAAAAAGCAAACTCTAGACAGAAGTTTACGCTCTGTGTTTAAATATAAAGAATAAAGGTCTTATGCGATAGGCGGCGAATGGCCGCCGCCGATTATATTAGTTTCGGCGTAGAATTTATAATTCATTACATGTTGAAATAGGTAATAAAGATATTATATATGCGGATGTACATAAGTATAAGATTATTGGAACATGCATCAGACACATTAAAAGGGACATAAAAATATAACCTACGAAAGTTCTACACCTAGTGGACTATAGTAATTCTTTATTATCTTTTTTTTTAATTTAAATGGCACACACTGGTATAATTATCAAATACTTATGTAAAATAATACACAAACCAATTTGAAAAGTCGATAGCCATAGACAAATTGATAAAATAAAGGAAACATTATGCAGCTATGTTATAAAAGACTATTTAAAGAGTCTACAGATAAAACAAATGTGGTGCGTAACTAAAAAAATCAAATGCTAATCTTTTTCCTATCTTTTCCCAAACAAAAATAGTTTTACACATAGATTCTAAAAAATAGCCGGATTTTTTAATATTTTTTTTTAATACAAGACGATGCAATTTGATTCCTAATGTTTTTTTTGTATGGAGACCCGCCATTGTTCTTTGGGAAGCATACTTCAGCCTATTTCAATACGGACTTTCACCTTCGGTCTTGCCCTGCCCAGTATACCGCTACTTCTAGTGATAAAAGAATGAAATTTTAAAAAATACGAATTACAGCTACAGGTTCTCTCTCGCGTATCATAAGATAGTTATCGCAATAAAAAGACTTGATTCAACATTTTATAAATTTTGACAGTAGGGCTACATTGCATCTACAGAATAATTAGTAATTAAGGCAAGGCTTGCATGTTACTTGGTTTTCAACGATAAAGATAATTGTCTCTGGCCAGTATGGACGTAGACTATAATCACGAAACCCTTTAACCACAAAATAAAAAAAAAACACTGAAATATTAAAATTGATTAAAAAAAGCTTACGTAATGACTATTACGTAAGCTTTTATAACGAATACGTCATTCACTAATGAACAAACCGACACTACTCAATGGAGAACTGTCGTAATAATAATATATGAATAAAAACATTAAATCAGTATTTGTTATAAATATGGTGGAAAAATAGGATTAGGCATTTTATATATTTCTTTTACCGTGCATTTAAAAGTTTACTTTTATGAAACAGTTACGTTCTCAAGCTGCTCTCAAAGGTATATTTAATGGGTGCACTGAGTATAATCGGTTAATTACGTAATCAAATGCAACACATGATGATGATAATCACGGAAAGATAGAAAAAGAAAAAGAAATTGAAAACAAATGAATGGAAATTGAACTCGCTACCTCTTGCCTAGCAGTCACGATCACTAACCAAGAGGCCAGTCCAGAACTGTTTCCTTGAAGTCCGAGTCTTAACGAATATTATACGTCTACATTTTGCTTATCTTAGTAATACGAGGGCTGCTATTTATGTATCCAGAACTGGTAAATAAAATTTTACAGTAAAAAAGTAATTATAACATTTAAAAATGGAACTCTTTGGCTGAAGAATTCAATTTGCTTTATGTAGCAGTCATTTGTTTATCCTTTGTAGCGTCATTTTGAAAATTGCGTGTCTTTATCACTATGGATTTAAATCGGGTAAATTTTCGTGCTATGATTTATTACGATTCTTGGCTAGGGCTAACTCAAAAACAGTGCATCGATCAAATCACTTCGACTTTTGGGGACGAAGCACCATCAAAAATAACTGTGTATCACTGGTTTAGTAAGTTTAATCGAGGGCGGTCTGTGCTCACGGACGAATTTAAAGAAGGTTGCTCTAAATCGGTTGTTGTACCTCAAAATACTGATGCTGTGCGGGAAATAATAATGCAAGATGGTCATGTTACATATTGCGAGTTAGAGGCGTCTTTGGGAATAAGTATGACGAGAATATATAAAATATTACAGGAACATTTAGCTGTAAAAAAAAATTGTTCACGTTGGATTCCGCACAACTTGAGAATTGTCCAAAAACGGGCTCGTGTCGATTGGTGTAAAAAAAATGTTCCAAAGGTACAATCAGTGTGCGTCAAAAGCTGTCTATAATATCTACACAGTCGATGAATCTTAGAAAAATGCGTGTGATCCTAAAACTAAACAACAATCAACGGTTTGGGTATTCCAAGATGAACTGAACCCAACAAAACTTATTTTGCAGCAAATGGTCGCTTGTTTTTTTTTTTTTTAAATGGACAGTGCCACAAGAGGATCGTAAAACGGTTAATTCTGAATAGTATACGACCATTTGTTTGCCAGAAGTCATTAAAGAAATAAGAAAGAATAACCAACAACGCAGAATCCTTCTTCATCATGACAATGCTAGCTGCCACACATCGGCCGAAAGAACTCAGTATTTGGAAAATCAGAAGATCAAATTAACGGGTCATCTTCCAACGGCTTTTATTTATTCCCGTCAACGATTTTCGAGCAGTGAAGAATCTACTGATGCGTTCGAAATGCACGTTTTGGAGATACCACAATCAGAATGAAAAAAATGCCCACGAAATTTGGTTCCAACGTATGCGAAAGTGTATCGATCATCACGGCGAATATTTTGAAAAGCAATAAAACTATTATAAATGCTATATGTTTGTTTCACTTTGTTATTTCGTATACATAAATAACAGCCCTCGTAAAGTAACAGGACAGCTTCTGCATGACCCTTAAATAAACAAAGTATGTTACTTTGTTTGTATAAGGTAGGTCCACGTTCTTGCTGTGTAGTACTTGAATTTAAAACGATATTATTTGTTATTGTATTACAAGCTTTCATTTAACTTGCAATGTTTGTATGTCTGTTTGGTCGGGTCAAACATTGCAACTGATTATTACGAGTATACTGCTATCAGACATTCACTGCAAAGATTAACACGAAGGACAGTTCGTCCTTCGTATTAATGGTGAATAGTTGTCGGTTCTGGGCTACGTGACGCATTAATGGTAGATATGCCTCCGACAGATTTTTGTGTTGCTGTCACTTTTTATGTTTGTGTATTTGGGAATAAAAAATAAAAGAAGGAATGTTACAATAAATGTTAATTTAAAAATAAATCTTGTTTCCTAACAAACAAAGCAAAAAAGAAATTAATTTGTATAATTTTTTGCATGATGTGGTCCCCTGTTATTAAGGAAGCACGCTAACTTGAACTTTGTAAACCTAATATCATTATAGCATGTAAGGTGTATTCCTTGTTGGTGATCCGAAATAAATAAATAAATTAAAGTTCCTACAATTATTTGGACCTGCTAAGACTAATGATGAGTTTGAGAAATATCCCTATATGAAACACTAGCTGACCCGCGCAACTTCGTCTGCGTCTCTCAATAGTAATAATTTTTCTCCGTTTTCGAAACATTCTTTATTGGTGCTCCGCTTCTATTGGCCTTAGCGTGATGATATATCACAGCTATAGCCTATAGCCTGCCTCGATAAATGGGCTATCTAACACTGAAAGAATTTTTCAAATCGGACCAGTAGGTCCTGAGATTAGCGCGTTCAAACAAACAAACAAACAAACAAACTCTTCAGATTTATAATATTAGTATAGATTTGACGTACCCATGTTATGGATAAAACCATACTATGTAAAGTAATTCTGTTCGTTGGTGCGTGACTTTCTGGGAATATTTGATAACACAACAAGCTATGAAAGGTGGTATCAAATTACATAGAAGTACCGTCAGCAAATAAAAGATTTTTTTACGACCAGTTAACGATAAAGCACACTTTCCTATAGTCGTTTGCAATGCTAAGCATATTGCTAGGGTTGCCAATCTTATAAAACTGAAAACACTCCATATTACCTACTTAACCCTACAACGGCGGCTTAACGTGCTCTCCGTGGCACGGAGGGGTCGCAACATGTTAAGAATGGGCACCCATCTATTGACTTTCCGGGCTAAGATTATTTCATCAACATCACATCAACAGCCTTTAATAGTCCACTGCTGGACATAAGCCTCTCCTTGGTTATTAGGTTTTGGCCTACTATACCACGCTGGCCAGACGAGTTGGTATAGGGTTTGTGTCAAGTTTTCCTTCTTAGTCGGCTCTTACGACACCCACGGGATGAATAGGGGTGGTAACATTCCGTATTCTTAATCCGTCACCACACGGACTAAATTTAGTTGACGAAATGAAATTATTTATGCCGACCGTACCTACTCAAAAACCCAGTTACAGTTATACCTAATAATATTTGGCATTTGTTTGTGTACCTTCGTCCTACAATGAGGTCTATCGAATTTAGCGTTTCTGTAACACTATTTATTTTGTACATTTTAGCTTCTCAGAGCCTCGACTTGGAGAACAAACACAAATGGGCACTGAATTTTGGTAAGTTTATTTTTTATTATTATTGTAATTTAGTAAATATAAATGACGTATATAAAAATAATAATATTGTACCACATTCACACAACGCCATCTAGTCTCAAACTAAGCAGAGCTGTACTATGGTCACTAGACAACTGATATAAATACATATATACTTTTTTTTGTAAATACATACTTATTATACATAGAAACACCCAGACCAAATCAAACATTAAATGTTCATGCACACAAATGTTTGACTTGAGCGGGAGTCGAACCCGCGACCTTTGGAATAGCAGTCCGTTAAGCAAACCACTTCGCCATTCGGTGGTCAATTGTGCTTTAAATAGGGTATATTTAAAGTCGTGTTCTGTGTGATTTCTTCACATAGATATACATATTGATTGATTTTCAAACAGAATGCTTATTTTGAATCTTACATGTGAGCCTGACAACTGACTAGGTCCAACGGATAGTCCCTAGGACCCATGACAACAACTGGCTTGCTAAATTTCACAACCTCCAAAATCTCTAAAATTTACCTATGAAGTTTTTTCGGAATAGGCGACGGCGACGGTCGGATGGGACCAAAGGTCGCGGGTTCGATTACCGCTTAAGCCAACATTTGTGTGCATGAACATTTAATATTTGATTTGGGCTGGGTGTTACAATGTATAATATGCAATAGTTTTATAAGAAAAAAGTATACATGTAATTATCAGTTGTCTAGTGCCCATAGTACAAGCTCTGCTTAGTTTGGGACTAGATTGCGTTACATGAATGTGGAAGAAGAATATTATTGTTAATGGATTGTATACTTGAGACAAGAGGACGTAGATTTAATTATTTCTAGATTTCTGTAGAAATCATCGAATAAAACATGAATTAATAATCAATAACAATATAATACTAAACAGCGCTAAACTTAGATGTAGGTTTAATCAGTAGCACCTAGATAGATAAATAGATAACTCTTTATTTGCACACTAAATTACAGAGTTACAAGAAAGAACACAGCGATCAAATATCGAGTGTACAAAGGGCGGCCTTATTGCTAAATGCAATTTCTTCAAGGCAACCTTAGGATGGATCAAAAGTTGCAGAGAGACAGTAGTAGTTGAATATCTGCATTTGTGAACCTACTATTTGTTTACTATTATCTACTATACATATTACATATACTACTCATATTAACCTAATTCGGATTGCGGACTTAACAAAAATTATGGTGGTGGTAGAAAGCTGTATATTTAATAACGACTGCACGGATGGCGTAGTGGTTTAAGCGGTCACTTCGCCACTTTCTACTGCGCTGAGTGTTGTGTGTTCGATCTCCACATGCGACAACACTTTGTGTGATCCACAAATTGTTGTTTTGAGTCTGGGTCTTCTATGTGTCCGTTGCATGTATGTTTGTAAGGTCCCCCGCGACACATGAAATATTCCTAGTGCGGGGGACGTTTATTCCTATTGCGGTAGTTGTGTTTCAAAAAGAAAGAATTGCAATTGATGTGTTTCCTTTCTTTTTAGCGCGCTATGTCATGTACCTGTTAACAGTTCAAGCATCAAAACCTGTCTGTATAGAACTCTATGAGATCCTGTATAATAAACGAAAATTGGATGCCCAGGGTTTCTTTAGTAAAGCGAACAGGACCCAGGCTATGATGTACGCAGGTTCTGTAGCAGTGATATACCTCAATGATAAGAAGCTGTATGCTGAGGACTTCCCTTTCGTCTTCATGGCATATCTAGCTGTCAAATATCCTGAAGTGGTACGTATTTCTGATAGTAGTGGTCATCCAGAGCTCGAAATTCAACCGTTTGAAGAAGATATAACATATGTCGGTTATCGTGGTAAAAAGTACCCTCTTTCCACTTGAATCCCCTAGGTTAATCCCCCAGGGAATTGTAAAACACTCACTATCCCACTCCGAACCCCTATTCTTTTTTTCGTGCGGCAGTCCCCTCGGATACCACCTACCGGTAGGGAAATCGAACTCGAACCGACTGAAAACCGCACGCCGTCTGGGGTACCAGTGGCCGGGGTACCAGATGTACCCTAGGGAGGAAATCTCTGGTACCCCGGGACATGAAGATGTGCCCCCTCGTGTATGAGAACCGTGGTGTTCCCATTCTACTTCCTGAACAGCTCGCGCGCTCCACAGTTCGCACGCAAAGGCAAATATCACAGTCAGTCATTTCCTAGAAATGTTTAAATAAATTACAGTTTAATTTGTTTAAACATTTCTACCTAACAACACACATTTGATATTTAATTTACGTATTGTTTTTGTTTTACAAGATTGTAAAAGTTTGTTTATGTTTTATTATTTTTAGAGGAAATAAATTTATTAGTACGTGTTGAGTCCCCAGCGGAGAGGATTGAAGTGGAATAGTGAGTGTTGTACACTCCCCTGGGGGATTGCGTCAGGGGATTTAAAGTGGAAAGAGCGAAAAGTAGCCTATGTTTCTCGGCGATATGGAATATCACCATTGGGTATGGAAAGCTACATGGGTGGAATGTGGTGGTTTAGACGACAACAAACAGACAACCAAATTGACTTTTAAATTTATAATATAAATATGGATAAATGTTACGTTGGTTTGTGTACACTTTAAAAACTCAAGAGTTTAAAAAAAATTATTTTCTTCTAGGCGACATCGACTAAAGTGGCTGTAACTTACGGTATGGGAATGGCCTGTAGTTTCATAGAAGGGTACCTGGTCCATGTCGTACTACCAGACGGTGGTACAATAAAAGGTTTGCAAGATAAGATAAGGGCATTTGAAGCCAACAATGGTGTCATATTCCCTGTGAAAAGATTGTTTATCATTGTCACCAAGTCCATGCACTGTCCACCAGATTTAAAGGAGTTTAATGACAAGAGTGACAGAGAAGATGTTAACAGGCTGGAGGCTTGTCTGGTATGTGCTTAGTTTAGACACAAGTTTTGTTGTTATTTTAGGAGACGAAGTGACTTATGTTCTGGTGGTAAGCATAATTGTTTCTGAGAATAACAACCTGTTTCTTGGACCAAATCATGGCGGACCAAGATCAGCTAGTCTAGCTATGTTCGTAATTCTCTAAAAGATGTGTTTTTTATGATGATGAGATGAGATGATGCCTATACTGGTATGATCTCGGAATTTTAATATTTAATGTCTTAATGGGGTAGAAGCCGTTTGAGTGAGAAGTTAGAACCCTTTCATTACTGTTTTTGAAGACCTTATCTATTGGCAAAGCTGTGGGTTGTTACTATTACCGGAAACGGAATCTATATTGACGACTGGATGGTGTAGTGGTTTGTGTAACGGACTGCTATTCCAAAGGTCGCGGGTTCGATTCCCGCTCAGGTCAAACATTTGTGTGCATGAACATGTGATGTTTGATTTGGTCTGGGTGTTTCTATGTATAATATGTATGTATTTACAAAAAATAAAGTATATATGTATTTATATCAGTTGTCTAGTACCCATAGTACAAGCTCTGCTTAGTTTGGGACTAGATGGCGTTGTGGTAGAATATATTATTATTATTATATTATATTATATATGGTATGTTAAGAAGCTAGCTTTTATCTACGGATATAATTGCAGTTATGTTAATTTTAACAACGTGAACGATATTGACTAACTTTTGACGGGCCTGTTGGTGTAGTGGTTAGTGCCCCTAACTGCTAAGCCGGAGGTCGTGGGTTCGATTCCCACGCAGGACAAATATTGTGTGATGAGCATGATCATTTGTTCTATGTCTGGGTGTAATTTATCTGTGATATGTAGGTATGTATTTAAAAATATATAAGTATGTTTATCAGCAGTCTGGTCACCATAGCACAGGCTCTGCCTAATTTGGTATCAGACGGCCGTGTGTGAGATGTGTGAGGTATATTATTATTATTATTGAATTGACCATCCATCTTTTACTGTCCAGACAATTTCCTCATGTACCCGTCAACTTACTTATTCAATGTTCTATATCCCCGCGATGGAGCAAAGGGCGTCCACAGTAATCCTCATTCGCGTTCGGCCTTGAGCTTCGTACTTGACCTCACCACTTGACCTCTCTCCATGAATTTAGTTTTGAAGGATATTCGTTGAATAGTTGACGTCAACAAAGTCAAGTAGGCATTTATTATATTAAATGATACGATTGTACTCGTGTATGTTTCTTTGAAGCTGAACTCATTAAAGTTCTAACAAGGGTCCTTATAGTACATTGAAAGTTAAATTGCCTTTAATAATTAACTTTTAAAGAAAGTCGTCATTATCATCTCAGACGAAAGACATAACTGCTGGACATAAGCCTTCCCCAAAGCTCTCCACAACAACCGGTCCTAAGCTACCCCCAACGGCTCCCTTTGACCTTCAACAGGTCGTTGGACCACCTTGTAGAGGGCCAACCCACGCTTCGTCTTCCTGAGTGGTTGCCACTCTAGAACTTTTTCTTCTCTTCTAGATCGGCAGCCTATTCTGCGAGCAATGTGCCACGCCCATTACCACTTATGTACTGTAAAAAAAAACTGTATTCTTTATTCCTTAATTTGCGACTCTCAGTATTAAAAAAGATAAGGACCAAACGGGAAATATACCCTCTCAAATAAAAAATAATGATTCAAATCGGTTCATAAATAACAGAATCGAAGTGAATTTATTATAAATCAAAATCCTCCAATTTACTTCTGATTAATTTCGTTGCGGGTTCCAAGGCTGTCCTGGGACTTAATGTTCAAATGTCATAACTCGGTGTGTTCGTAGGTCACTGCTGTTGATCCCGGTGTTACAGTACCACTACTGTTAGTTAGGATAAGCGTTTTCTTCGATGTAGTATTTCTAAGTTATGTATTACAGGACTTACAAAGAATAAATACAATTTTATATGCAATTTTAATTCAAATATGAAATTTAATTTTATTAATTTATCTCGATTCTATTTAATGCCCATTTAATTCAACTAAATCCAAAATCAGATAATATTGTATTTAGATTAAACTTTTAAAACTAGCATAACTAAGCAGTTTCACGTCTCTCCTGATAGTGCTGTGCCCGACAGGGTCCATAATTGTTGATATTTATGAGCCTACCACTTGTAAATGCCCATTTTGGTCTGCAATAAATTCAATTGAACTTAAATGTATCCGAGCAACATAAGTATTAAACTATGGGAGGCGTATGGGAGGGATTAATCCCATTTGAGAACTTACTCCATTTTTTAAAGTGTAGCGATTTGTCGTCGATCTGTAGATCATATGAGCATATCTGTGAGTGTTGATTAACGCCGTCCTGTACGTTCCATGATGATTATTTCGCAGATTTGCCACCATGTGATCTCTGATATTTTCCAGCCGTTGGAGGAGGTGATAAAAGACGTGGCCGGCGTTAAGAACCGCAACTACAAGAATTCCGCCTACAAGATCATGAGACCGAACAAGAAACCGGTTTATATAGCTGCAGAGTGCGCCACTCCCTTGCACACACTGTACAGAGTCATGAAAAACAGACATTTGTATGAAGGTATGTTCCTTTTTCGTGATGATTGATGATCCCTCATCATGATCTTCGACGGGCCTGTTGGTCGAGTGGTTAGTGCCCCTGACTGCTAAGCCGGAGGTCGTGGGTTCGATTCCCACCCAGGACAAATATTGTGTGATGAGCATGATCATTTGTTCTGTGTCTGGGTGTAATTTATCTATAATATGTATGTATTTAAAAATATATAAGTATGTTTATCAGCAGTCTGGTAACCATAGCACAGGCTCTGCCTAGTTTGGGATCAGACAGCCGTGTGTGAAATGTGTGAGGTATATTATTATTATTATCTTCAAATGAGCAGACAAGAGAGAAAATCAACTAATTTCCGCCGCGCATTCTAGCAACCCAAGGGTCAGAAGCGTTTCCCTTTTGGGGTGGGTCTGAAAATACTGTCGTCTGGTTCCACAAAGTATACATATGACGCAAGCGCAAGCAGCGAGAAAAAGTTAGGTTGTTTCGTGAACTGTCAAATGGACCTCCCCCTCCCCTAAATCTACTAGGGGGGAATTAAACGGCGCTAACGCACTTATAACTAAAGTTTCAGATGTAACATTTTAATTTATATTTGAAGCAAATTCAGTTATCTATTTGGTGCAGTGATGGAACATTCAACTGCATCGGATGTGGCGGGTTCGATTCGTTCAATGCTTTTCTATTCCTTCCTTCTTGGTTTCATATTTCTGTAATAACATGTATTTATTTTAGCAATCGCTGATGTAAAAGTGGAAGACATTGTATCAGATTTCGTGGGCACATTACGGACGGTGTTGGCCAAGAGTCCTGAATTTAAGAAAACGTGTGAACTGGTTTGCTTTGATGGTGAGTACTTAAATAGATACTACAAAAATAATGAAAAACAGCTAAAATTAATTATTATTACGTGACTGCAACCGCCAACCAGAAGGGCAATTCTCGTAATAAAAGTTCGGTCACAATTCTGTTCCGATCAACTTTGGATCTCACAATTATCATAAAAGGTATTTTCGTAGTAAGTAAGTAAAGTATTACCGAGACTAGCAGATTACCGATTCAATTTTCGGTTACAATACGATATAATCACATTACAACTTTGGATGTTTAAAACTTTACTACGAAAATATCTTACTTTAATTACGAGAACTGGCCTTGTGATCGAATACTTCATCAACCGATTAAAAATTTGACAGTTATTAGTAACCATAAAGTATAAAGAAATGTCAGTATATCGGTTAGTGACGTCATCGAATGCGACGAGAGCGTTTTTTGGTTTGCATTTATGTTTTTGGGGTTCGCCCGCTTAAATATCGGTTATCGCGGTAAAAAGAACCCTATGTCTTTCCTCCAGAATCAAATAAATCGGTTCAGCGGTTATTTATTCCCCATACAAACTTCCACCCCCATTTTCACGTCTCTTTTCCCGGGACTCGGACGGTCTCTGTATCAAATTTCAACAGACAGACAGACAGACGTAATATTAGTATGGATATATATTGTTAAAGTATAAGAGCCATCTATCCTATTAGAGGCTTTAAGCACATTAGACCAATGTTACCCTTACAACCTTGACAGAACACTATTTTATAAGAATAGACAAAGAAAGTAAATAAGTGAGGTCCTAGATTTATTTTTATTATTATAAGTTATTTATCGTTTTTTTTTGGAATAAATGTTTTTCGGTAATAAAATTAAATATCGGTTCTAGTTTGGTGATCTGGTAGGAACTAGAGGGTCCCTCACGATCCCGGAACCCTCTTCCTGTGCCAAGAATGCCCAGTGAGAAAGAGGGGCCTGAGTATGCTTATCAGCATATTACTAGTACACACACACATCACATCACATCAACAGCCTTTAATAGTCCACTGCTGAACATAGGCCTCTCCTTAGAAAGGCCTACTATACCACGCTGGCCAGACGGGTTGGTATAGGGGTTGTGTCAAGTTTTCCTTCTCTCCGCAGTGCTGTTGTCCTGCGTGGTTTGCTCCCTTGGTCGCCTCTTACGACACCCACGGGATAAATAGGGGTGGTGACACTCTGTATTCTTAATCCGTCACACACGGACCAATTTATTACTAGTACACAATGTTTAATTTGAGATCTGAAGGTTAATTCTCGTAATAAGGAAGCGCTCAAGAATTTGTCGCATTCGATGTACTCTCGATCTCACAAATATTATAAAAGGTATTCTCTTAGTGAAGTGTTACTAAGAATAGCAGAATACCGATTCAAATTTCGATCACAGTACCTTTTTATGACATTGAGGGTAGAATGGAAACGAATTTTCAACGAATTTTCATTACGAGAATCGACCTTCAGACGTTCGTGTGTGTGATATGTCAATTCAAAATTATTATTTGTAACAGATACCGATGAGAACTCGAACCTGTCTGATGTGCTGCTCGACAAAATAAGAGAGTTGGAACCTAACTTTGAAGAATTTATCAACCGCGCAAAGTAAACACGCGCAAAAAGTAAAAATACTCATTCTATTATCGATACATTTGTTTTTTTTTGCGCTAGTAGTATACTGACTGGCTTGTTAGTTTTGTAATTAGTAATGTTGACTGCTAAGCATTTATTTTTTTACTATTTCTTGACTTTTTTACTTTTTAATGTTTGTATAAAATTGATTTAGAAATACGTAATGATAGCATCAATGCTTAAAAAGGCTTAAAGCATGCGGTTATATTGAATACGGTATCAAATATCATACTTAAGTTAATAAGTTTTAAACTTAGTGAGATTTATATAAATACGCTTAGGGATCATCCATTAACAATATCACCCTCCATTAACAATAGACGGGCTTAATTTTACGTTGATCGACCGATCTGTGTACCACATTCTCGCGGTATATCCGAACCAACACGACTTCTAAAGCTAAAAGAAAATAACGTTCTGCTCTCTGAAGCACCGAGGGGTCATTCATAGATAGTCCATTCATAGACTGACCTGGTTAGTATTGCTTAACTTTGCAATATGTTAATATATACCAAAAAAAAATAGTTTATTTAATGTGTTACCTATTGTAAATAATATTTTATAGCTTATTAGATGTCATGTAAAATTTAACGATGTCAGAAATTAATAGTGTTGGACTTTTTGTCCTATTGTGTGGTTCGTGTGGTTCTCAAAATATACGTTCATGCTACTAGCGATAATCTTTCTCTTCAATAAATCTAACATAGCCGCTATGAGTCGAGTTGAGAATGTTTCTTTTGATTTTAGGTACAAATTGAAACTTTCCTGTTTAACCGCGACGTATAAGTTTATGGATGATCCCTTATTTTAGTATAGAATAATAAAAAATATTATAATTGTGTGTGATCTAGTGATTTTTAGTGTTAAGAAATTCTACAAGTTAAAGGGAGTGCGCGGCCTGTATCGAAGATACTTCTCACACTCACACAACCTCGTATATAATAGAAGGAGACAAATATAGAAAGAAGATTTTCTTTCAATGTACCTGTCTATATCTTTCTTTCTGTCTATCTATATATTTTCTGTCTACATCAATATGCGTAGGAAAAATATATTTGGACTCCTTATAACGCTTCTTTTTCGCGATAAGTTCGTTGCAAAATTTCAGTACCAAACTTGGCTATTAAATATTTTTTTCTGCTGGTGAAAAGTGTTGCCAGAAAAATAATAAAGGTACCAAAATGGTAGTATATTTTTGTAACAAGTGTTGCTAGATATTGTTAACAATTAACCATCAACTAATTGATGTCTTCTTAGCACATAATTATATTCTCAGACCATGTTTGTTTTTTTTCACTTATGTGTTTAATTATTTTTTTGTTAGTGATCATAGCAAATCTTTACAGACCTGAGCCACGAACACTTACAATACCATGTGTAGGCGATTCAAACAACAAATTCTATTTTGACAGTCTCATCTACGTTTTATTACCTTTATTTTTGCACCCTTTGAATTGTTTTTAAATGTCAATATATTTGTATTATGCCATCAACAGTGTATTAGGTTATATTTATAGACTGATCACATTTACAGGTAAATTAGCTTGGAGAAATTTTTGCGTTTGTAGTAGTGTATGGTTGTGCGTGTTTCCACTTTCCACTATCAAGTGACGATTTTTTGCTTTAGATTGAAATATCTCGGAAACGGTGCGTCCTAGGCCAAAAATGACAAAAATTTTGACCCCCCGTAGACCCCCCAGAGTTTTAAAAACCTAGATGAAAGGAAAAAAAAAAGAAAAAAAAAATTTTAAATATCGGTCTCTCCTCTTTGAAGTTTCACTGCTATCGTGTGTGAATCGCACACACAACTTTTTTTTTTATAAAGTCAAAACCTTTTTCTTTAAAATAAAAACTTGTTTTTATTGAAAACAAAAATCAGTGTGTTGCTAGGGATAAGTTTAAAATTAAATAGTAATGTTAGGATATCGAATTATTTTTGTATAGGCCAGAACGATATAGTGGAAACGCGCTCTAAGGTCTGAGTAATATACACACCACTACATATGCAAAAATTTCTCGAGACTAATTTCACTGTAATGATGTAGAATAACATATATTGTACCTCCTCTAGAGTTCTTAAAAGCGCATTTTTGTACAAATAATGTTCACACTCAACACAAATAATTGTGTGATAAACGACCATTTTGTTTTATGTGTGGGTGTAATTTGTTTATGGTATTTAGTCACCATAGCATATACACTGCCTAACTTAGGATCAGAGTGGCGTATGCGAGATGTAACAACTTATTATTATTAGTACTGTACTGTACTGTTTTATAGACTGTGGTATAACCGAAGTCATTACTTGTAAGTGTACTAGTTAATCATTTGAATTCAGCAAGGCCTATGAAGGTTCTACATATAGTCCCAGGGATAGCCATATACAGTTTTAGGGCAGAGTGAAACTAGTAAAATAATATTAAGGTACCCTCATACAAGAAAGCCCACCTAAGTTACCCTCATAATCTCTAAGTTTCTATGAGAATTTATTTAGTAATATTTCTTAATTGATCTTACAGTTACTCTAATATTGAACATCACTAGTTTTCACAGTAAATTGTTACACTATTTATAGGTATTTTTAAAGTAAAATATAATCCTCTATATACTCGTATGTGTAATATATTCTAAAATGTGTGTTTCAATTTTACTTTAAATTGATTAAACAAGATAGAATGTTGCCAGTTCTCAAACAACTAAACAAAATTGACAAGTGTCATAGACAAATGACGACAGAACTGTTTTTACTAATGAACGGAAATACATACCCTTAATTACTTGAGGTTTCGACTAGCTTGCACCGGACTCGATCACAAGCTTACTGATTGACAATTATGTTAATTGCTGTATATTAGAAATAATTATAAAATAGAACATGTCATAGACAATCATATATAGTTTTTATCACTCTTTTTCTAGAATATGTTATTATGTTTTAAAGTAATTGTTCAGATGTACCGTCCAGACACACATAGCGCTTCTGGGAACACAGTGATTTAGCTTGTAAGAGTAGAGTAGAATATATGTATATAATTTTTTTTTTTTTTTTGAATTTTGGAATTGGAATTTGAAAAGCGCTGCCTTAGTGAGATCGATGCCCGGATCGGGTAAATTTTTAAAAGGCAAATTTTTTTTTACTTGACAAACACTTCAAGTGTATTTATTTGTATTATTGATATAATAATTAAAGCATTGTCTAATAATATTAGTTGTCAGAATTGCAGCTCAGGACCTCAATACTTACGCTGGCGAAGTCTAACAGGGGATTTGAGTTTGAAATTAGATTTTAATTAATATGGCAATATAAGGACAGAAGCAGCATTTCAAACAAACTGTCAGTTTGACATTTCAATATGAGGTTTACTGTCACAGCTTTCAGTACTAAACTTATGACGTAATATTTATTTGAGTGCTACAACTAGTCTAATATAGGATTAATTGCATCACATACGGATAACTAAACGACTTGAACTTTGAACCTTAAAACTCAATCTACAATATTTCTAAGAGACTAGACGTCAACTGGTTGTATGTAGTATTTCATATCTTCAACTATAAAAATAAAATTATATTGACACACACGTCTTTGAAGTTTAGAAGAACAAGGCAAATTGTATTTTTTGTTTTATATTCATGAAAAAGGGACGGTAGTGTGTAAGAGGGGAAAGCCCGCGCTTTTTGTTTAGACCAATGGGCGCGTACGGTTCAAGAGTTGTCCGTCAGATGGCAGGTGTGAGATGTCAGAGGGCCGAGTGCAAGTTTATTTCACATCGCCTCACTCTCGACAGCGAGCGCGTTTAGCGTTGCGATTGGTGGAGATTTGAGTGCGGGCCAATCGTAGCGCCGAAAGCGGCTCTGCGATTGGCTGGCTCTCTAATATCATCGTAATAATATCTGCTACTGTTTTCAGGTTCGCTCGGTTTTTTATCTGCTTTTCATATAATGTTAAATTTTTATGTTGTGTGTGTATTGTACAAAATGATTGTAATTTTATATTAATTGTTGAAGGTACTATAAGTACATTTTCAATTAAAATTTATTATAAAGAGGTAGTTTTATTTATTGTCCTGTCTTGTAAGTGATTTTTTTCAAATAACCATTTATGCAGTTTATGGACATTACAGTATTTAGTGCATCTCTCTAATATGAGAGACTTCTTGTTAGCCATCACGCATCAAAATGCGTGATGGCTAACAAGAAAAAAAAAACTGAGTTATCCGAATTTTATTTGGGGTCAATAGGATAGATGATGATTGATGACTTCACGGATGACGTAGTTGTTTAAGCGGTCGCCACGCCGCTCACTACTACGCTGAGGGTCCGATCCCCACATGGGACGACACTTTGTGTGATCCACAAAATGTTGTTCTGAGTCCCAGACTCAGAACAACATTTTGTGGAACACACAACAGTGTTCTTTGTGTCCGTTTCATGTATGTTTGTAGTAAGTCCCCCGCAACACAAGATATATGCCTAATGCGGGAGTTGCCTTTAAAATATTCCTAGATTTAAAATAAATTATTTCATCCTCCATTGTAAGGAGAGGCCTATGTCCAGCAGTGGACTGCTAGTGGCTGTTGATGATAATTTTGTCTGAATTGTCCTCAATTATCAATTTAATGACAAATATTATTGGTTTGATATTCTAATATATATACTTCATTTCAAATACTGTTTTGTCTCTCATTTTGCCGTGTAATAAAAAGAAACTGACTTGACCATAGAGCTACAAGGGTTTTGATTTTTTATTTTATGGCCGGCCGCCTGCCAAACGCTAACTCTAATTGGGAATGTAATCGTTTTAGATAGGACATAGAAAAAAAGTAAATTGGGAAACCGGATAGGGAGGGGGATACCTGACTACATTGCCGCGGTTGCGTACACGTGCGTCTGACCTGTGATTGGAGAGGCGTCCTGTCCTGTGCTTTGAGAGGCCACTTGGAAAATGACATCACATTTCGCAGGTATCTTTAAATC